CTCCTCAGAAGAATCTTCTGCCCAGTTCTCATTCTCAGCAATCATTGCAGAAGTTTCTTCTTCTTTCTGCACCATCAGCATTTTCTGCTTATTCCACAGCATCTTTTGCTTGAAGAAAATAGTATGAAAGAAAAGAGAAAGGATTTTTTTTATCATCAAAACATGCCTCTATTCATATCAAAAGATTCAGGATCATTACATCAAGCAAGGGGAAAATAAAACAGACACCATATGAAACCCCAACAACTACGGCTGTAACCCTATGGTGAGACTTTGTGACGGTCACCCCTGAGAGAGCAACACGAAACGCTAACCATATAGTGGGCTTGACACAATCAAAACTATTCCCATAGATCCAACCATACCCAATGACATAAAGAGAGGCAAAAAAACTCAAACAAACTGTCAAACCCAACAACAAAAATGGACGCAAGAAAACAAATAACAAACAGATAAAAACTACACGAAAAACGTTCACGAACTCTAGCACCTCGTACATCCCATGGTGGTTGTAACACCGACCCCGAGCATATTTGCTTTCAGTAAATTATGTAATAAACCTTGGAAGATGATTTATGAATTTGCGTAGTGGTAAATTTTTATTATTTCTTTTACGTGAATAGTAAATTGCATGTGGGGCCCACAGCGGGAACGGGGACCGCCCGATAATTCCCGAACCACATATTATATTCATCTTGGTCTAGATAATATGTATATGGTGGTGGATATTTTATTTGGGCCATAAGAAAGGCATGGAGTTGACCGGTTGGTCAAACGGGGCCCAATTACCGGTATTGGTAATTTAACGGATAACAGCCCGAAATGAGTTCCGGAGGCTTCTAAATTAATGTTGGGGAATATACATCTATTCTAAAGGTCCATAATTATTAGGGACGCGTGATATATTTTATTTGGCCCGATAAAATAAAATATAATTAAAATGGACCGATAAATACAACTTTCGAGACCGGTTGTACACACCGGGACATAATGGGATGACCTCCCACATAAGGGGGGGCCACCCCACGTTTTTAGGTGACCAGATTGACAAGTTAAGGGGGAGGGGCGTGCATGAGGAAGCCTCATGGAGACAAAGCCTACACCCACCCATTAACTCCCTTGTCTTACTCCCTCAATCATCTCTCAAATTGATTGAGGGGAAGATATCCCCCCATTCCATTTCACCCGCACAAGCCTAACCTCAAGAGAGAGAGGAAGCTCTGGAGTTGACTTCTACAAACCTCAGCCACAGTTGGAGAAAGCTAGGAGGAAGGAAACCCAAGAGAAACTAAGTTAAAAGAAAGGTAAGAATTCAAATAGTTCTTTTAACTAGTTTTTGGTGTATGATTTTTGAGAAATCATATGAGGGATTAAACATGATGTTCTACACGTTTAAAAGTGTAGAATATTGATATAAAGTGGTGATATTTAACTTAGAAGAGTTGGTGAATCGATAGGAGTCAAAATCGCCGGAAACCGCCACTTTAAGGGAGCCGCTCGTTTTTGCAGACCACGAAAGCCGCCCGGCTTTCGTGAAAGCCGCCCGGCTTTTGCCCAGGCAGTCCAGTTTTGCCTTTGCATCGGTTTAAAACGAGGATTTATCGGGGAGCTCAACAAAGGCAACTATTTCAGCACATCATAAGGTGAGGATGACTGACTATATTGCTTATAATTAGTGAGTTAAATTCATAAGATTACCGAAGGTAATTAAATGTGCTTTTATGGATTATTAATGATTAATAATGCCTAAAAATGAAAAGACTAAATGTCTAAAGAAAAAGGAGCATGATATACAAATTTAAGAGTAAATTGTATATGTTCATGTGTTGTGAGTATGTTGACTTGAATGTGAAATTTATTATGAAACATATGTTGAAATATACTTTTTCTCCATATTAGAATATATGAGTGATTAAAAGTGATATTTTGAATATTGAGATAAATGATATTTTCAAAGGAAAATCAGTTGGAATTGTCTATATGACTATGAGTTGAGAACTTGGTTCGTTGATATTAATTTGACTAGTATTAAAATACTAGTTGGACATTAAAATGAAATGTGGTTAAGATTGATCCTAAGGTTGGATTGTGAAGTGTTATGCCTTAAGTAGTCTTAGGAGATGCTTTAAGGTAGGAAAGTATGAACTCTAAGTTATACTAGGGGTAGGCCTTAACGGATACCCAAGTTAATGCAAATATTAAATTGATCCTAAGCATAGGATTGGCCTACGGGTGTGTCCGGTAGTCCTTGTGGATAGCCGGTCGAATTATGGAAATAGTAAGGACCATGGCCCTTCCCGACTCTAGAGAGCGGGGTTGGATAGCATGGACTTACATCGTGATCACGGGTTAGGGTGGAATCCGAATCGGAGACCTAACTAGGTTCCGGTAGCGGTAACACATAAGATAGGACCCCGAAGGGCCTTACCTTCCTACGAGATGATGGGTATGAGTCCAGGGGCGGGATGTTGGAGTCCGAACCGGGAGCCTCACGAGGTCTCGGACAGCGGTAGCAAGTCCCGTAGAAATAATAAGACCCAAGGGTTGGGTTGTGCAAATGATAAATGAAAAGGAACATATAAGAAGGGCCGTGTGCCGACAAATGAATAAATTCACTTATTATAAAGATAATAAGTGGGAAATATAAATTGTCATTTATATTATGATATCACCCTATTTTGAGGGTCTTGGAAATTAAAACGTTGATTATACTTAGTATAGTTGCTATTGTACTTGTCAAATATTTCCAAGTACTGACCTCCCCTTCACGGGGGAGGCCACCTCACAGTTTCAGGTAGGACTTGAAGGTTGCTACTGGTGCCCGTTGCTCGGGATATTCAGAGGAGAAGACGTGGTTCGTGCTTCTTCTGTTTTCTGATTTCAAAACAATTATAATAATGCTCATGGATATTATTTTGAATAACTATTTGGGGGCTTGCATGCCCATGTTTGCCAAAGTGTGGCTAAGACACTTTTATTAAATGCTTCCGCTGTTTTAAATGAATGTTTTACATTATGTTTGTTTATGGATGTACTATGTGTGAATGATATTCATGACGCCTTGTATAGTATGGATGAGTTGGGCTACGGTTGACTATTCGTACTGTACGGCGGGTTGTTGACGTATCCGGCTAGGTCCGGGGCGTGACAGTGGTGGTTCAGGAGGAGGTCGTACCACTGGTACCATGCTAATTGATCCTCCATGACTTTTGGCTGTCAAAGACCATGCATCAGTCCTCCATCCCTGCATAAACAAACTCATCCCTGCTCCGTGCACCTAGAGTAAACAGATAGGCGGCGCCGATCTTCTCCAATGAGGACAGCAACGCCGCATCTTCGAACCTTGACCACAACGCCGATCTCCTCGAGCCATGACAGCAAATCTGCCCTCCTCCGTCGACCTCTGCCCTCCGCGTCTGACCTGGGCTCCAATCGAACACCAGCGACCAAGGTATAACAAATCTGATCTTCGACAAAGTCGAAATCGGAAGAAAGCTCCAGCGGCCGACATAGTCAAAACCCTAGAGAGAATTTTATGTAGTTTTACAATTTGATTTGAATAATTATTAAGAAAAGAGAAAGGATGAAGAAAGAAGGGGTGTGACAAAGAGTATAAATGAATTATTTATAAACTTAAAAACTTTACAAGATAGCCCCTTAATCTCAATGTGTAAAGTTGGATTTAAAAAGTAAGATAATACACAAGGATAGAATTTTCGATGGATTATTTAAACTTTAAAGAAGACTAGAAAAAGTGGGATTTTATTTATTTCTATTTCCCCAAAGCTTTATTATAAGTGAGACATTTTTGTTTTAAGAAGATCAATTACATGTTATGCAAGTTTATTAAAGGGAGGAAACTTATTTTAGGTTTTGTTTGCAAACACAAAAAAAGCGTTTCCCAATTTTTGGCTTAAAAAGTTTTAAAAAAATGTTTTCAAGTGACAACTTCTACTTAAATTAATACCTAAAAGCTATACACTATAATTTAACATTTACTTTCTATTACACAAAAACATTTATTTTACTAAACGCTATCAACTTTTACTTTTCAAAATCATTTTTTTCACGGGAGAACTATCAAATAAGCCCTCGAACTTTCATAAAAAGTGTAAATAAGCCCTTTTATAGGAGGCTCTGTCCGGCCATCGTCATTTGGGGCGGTTTTCGGTGGAATTTTTTGATGAAATATTTTGAGTATCTTCTTCATTAAGTCTAGTTTATTCATACCAAATTTCAGCTAAAAATTAAATCGGGAAGACAGTCAAATGAATTTTTGAAAATAACTGCGCAGTTAGACAGGGCAATATATTTCAGAAAATCACTTGACTGCCTTCTCGATTGAATTTTTAGCTGAAATTTGGTATGGGTAAACTAGACTTAATGAAGAAGATGCTCAAAAAATTTAATCAAAAAATTCCACCGGAAACCGCCCAAATGACGACAGCCGGACAAAGCCTCCTGTAAAAGGGTTTATTTGCACTTTTTATGAAAGTTCTAGGACTTATTTGATAGTTTTCTCTTTTTTTCACATATGCACCACATTTTGAAAAAACTTTGATTTTGCATCCATTTCACTTAAAATTTCTTTTACTTTGCACCCCATTTAGAATTTTTCTTCACAAAATTGTATATGTTAAGGTGCAAAGTCAAAATTTTTTGAAAATGGGATGCAAAGTCCAATATCATTCAAAAAATACAAAAAATGGAGTACAAACTAAAATTCCCCCAAACTTTTATTACTCCCTCCGTCCCCCTGTTATTGTCCCATTTCTTATTCACTTGGTCAACACAAATCACTCTTAATCTCTTACTTTATGTATCAAATTTTTATCAAATTTGATTCTGGTTTTTGCGACTTTGTAAATCTTTTAATGTAGTTTCTGAATATGTAATTTTTTTTCCCTAAAAATAATTTGAGTGCGGACAGGGATCTGTTTGCTTTATCGTCAGTCAAGCATCTTAAACCGCAATGAGACAATAACAAGGGGACGGAGGGAGTATTAAACAGTTTTCAAATCATTTTAAAAAGTTAGTAGTGTTTTGGAAACTGTAAGGGACGCCGTAATCCATCAGAACTTGAGAAGACCAGTGAGAACTGAGAAGGGGTTGTTTACCTCTCACTCTCGCTACTCGAACTGCTGTGTTGTTCGCTTACCTTTCATCTTCCATGTCTTAATTATACTTCTCAAGATACCGTTTCTTTATCATCACCATTATCCCCGCTCATTTTTACTTGCCAATGGGCTCCAATGTTCTTTCTCAGGTGTCTTTGATTAATTTTCCGGTGTTGTTTGTGGTTCCAAAGAACCCCACTCAATGGGGTCCGAAGAGGCCAGGGTTTTCTTCTTTTTTCCGACCCTCGGAGCTCAATTCATTTGCAACTGACCTTTCTAGGGTTTCACCCAACTCTATCCACTCCAGCTTTTCAAAGCGCGGAAAGCAGCCTTTTGTTGTTAGAGCTGATGAAGAGGGAGCGGATGGAGTTTCTGAAGCTCCTGTTGCAGTGGAGGCTGCACCTGAATCTGGGTCAGAAACTGAGTCAGAGTCTCAAATGGATGCCGCCGCAAAAGAGGAAAAGCCTCCCAGGAAGCCTCGGATTAAGCTCGGAGATATAATGGGGGTATTCTACTTTTTCTCCATTTTTCCTTTCAAAGGCTCTTTGGCTTATTCTGATTGGGTTTCTATTTGATTGGTGAGAAAGCCGAGTGTACACATGAAAAATCAATTAAATGGCACAATGAGTTTTTTTTGGAAAGGCATAAAAGTCTTATCATTTCATGCTCTACTAGATCAGCTAAATCTGATCAAATCAAGACCAATTCAAGGGTATGAAGAAGAACTAATGTTATTAGAATTGGTAATTGGTAATTATGATAGCTTAGCTTATACGATAGTACTCAATAGTAATTTTTACACAGAACTTAAATTTGGTGTGTTGGAGGAGAAGGGCAGTAGTTTGATGAAGGATTTTACTTTGTCTTAGTAGATATTGAACAACAGAGCAGTTGAAGCAGCTGATAACGAAAGGCATGTACCGGATCTTAGGACTGGTGATATTGTAGAGATCAAGCTGGTACTTTGTTTTCTTTCTCCCTGCTTTAGGTGGTAATGATTAGATATTATAAGTGTTCGAATTAAAGAACCTTATTATAAGGTGTTTTCTATTATTAACTTTGTAGGAAGTCCCAGAAAACAGGAAAAGATTGTCTGTTTATAAAGGTATAGTTATGTCAAAGCAAAATGCTGGTATTCACACTACCATTCGGATTCGGAGGATCATTGCTGGTGTTGGGGTTGAGATTGTGTTCCCTATGTACGTTTTCTTGTAGTTTGTTTCTTTCATCTTCTTGTTCATACAAACTTTTGCCTCATATGTGCTTTTAGGCATTGCTTGGTAGTTGGTACCTGGAAAATGTTGAGCAAAAGAAAAAGGTGCACGAATGAAAATGGAGCTCTCTAAAAAAATTGTTTATCTTGGAAAATATGAAAGAAAATCAAATTTTATTACAACTTCTTAAGCTTTTACATATATTTAGATTTCTTAAATCTTGTTTGGTAACCCCTATTTTTAGCTTATTAGCCTAATCAGTCAACTCTTTTACCAAACACGTAGTTTTTTACTTCACGCGTTGAATTGAGTAACTTCAACTTTACTTATTTTGATTATTTTCAAAATAAGTAAGGTTGGAGGTACTTTCCTGGTTGAATTGGCTGAAGTTACGGTAGAATACTATTTTCTTAATACGTAGTTTTCTTAATTTTATTAGTAAAATAAAATATATTTTAAATATAATTTTTCGATAAATTTCAATTCAGCCAATTCAGCCATTCCACCTACAATTTCACAAATTTCAACAGATCAGAGCCAATAAAAATATGTAGATTTCGTAGTTTCACTTTTCTTTACATCCAAAATTTCGCCCTATTTTCCTTCTTGTTTTCTTTCCCCAACATTTTCCATGTGTACTGGACCCTTATTTTTTTAATCTCTGGCAATGATATGGAAGAGTATTAAGGAGTATTTAAGAAGTAGAAAAGGAAACTTGAGGTAAAAATTGCAAAGAAAGCTTGTTGCAACGTAAAGTCATAAACAGGTTCCAAGTTCAACCTGGGACATTTCAAACATCCATACTAATACGAAGTTTATCAGGGAACTTAAAATTTTAAACATTTGCACAACCGCATCATGGAAAGATATAATTTTTTCTGTATCTCAATCTCTTTTGCAGTCATGGAAGTTAGACCCTTGTAGTCCTGGTAATGCGCATTTGGTTTTTAATGAAAAATATGTAAACTATTATGCAGCGTTCTTACTTTTACATGTCTTCAACATTCATGGCATTCAAACATTTCCAAACACCACGATTTAGGTTCTTATCATCTTATGCTCTTCACTTTTCCATGTTTAGTATTTCTGATACAATGTGTTGTCTTTATTTGTTACAGATATTCACCAAACATCAAAGAGATCAAGGTAGTGAAACACCGTAAAGTGAGGCGGGCAAGGTTGTACTATTTGCGAGACAAACTTCCAAGGCTTTCCACTTTCAAGTGAAGTCTTCACTAAATTTATGCTTTGTTTATGTGTGTGTATCATTGTATCTTTTTTCTTTTCCCTTTTTGGTCTCCGGATCTGTAATGTTTGGTCAATACTATGGTAGGGGATAAAAAAGAGTTAGTGTCATTTTTTATTTTCAGATATGCTATTGTGTTTTTCCTCTTGTATCAAATGAACAGAGTGTTTGAGTTTGTTTTTAGTCTTTTTACTTTTAAGAAATTATTTATTTAGAGATTATTCAAATCTTCCATATAGATATTTAAATTAGTTTTAAAATTAAAATTTACATATTTAGATATTAAATTAAAAGTTCTACAAAGCTGAAAATTTTAAATTAGAATATATTAAAAAGTTAATATCCTAACTAAGTAAATAAAATCAAATTGTATTGTCCAACCAATTGTGTTGCCCAGCCAAAGTCGATATGCACTACTATTCCTAGCATACCAATGATGATACTAGGGATGGACCCGGGCCGGTTCCGGTTTCGTGCTGGGCCCGGGCGGGCTTTTTTTGCAATTCCTTGGGCCCGGAACCGGCCCGGGTTGCTACCGGGTCCGGGCCTAACCGGGCCGGGCTGGGTTGGGCCCGGTTTAATACTTTTTTTTTTCTTTCTTGTTAGCCCCCCCCCCCCCCTCACCCTCATCCCCCAAACCTCCCCAAAACACCCAGCCCAATCCTAGGAAAAGAAAAAAAATTGAAAAAAAAATTTGACCCGGGCCCGACCCGAACCGCCCGGGCTGGTTCGCCCAAAATTGGGCCTGAGCCCGGCCCGCCCGACCCGTCCACACGGGCTAAAAGCCCGGAACTGGCCAACCGGTCCCGGTCCGGTCCGGGCCTGCACAGTAGCGGGCCGGTTCGGCTCGGCCCAGTCCATCCCTAGATGATACAATCAATCCTTTTTGGAATTTTGGTTAAGGATGTTTTTACTTGGACCGGAACTTGCTAGGTCTGGTCTGTTTAAGTTTGGTCTGGTCTAATCTGGTCGCCATACTGAATTGATTGGAATCACTTTATATGTCTATTTAAACTAGCTTCCGTAAAATATCTATTGTTTTATGTAGTAAAAATGAGTTATAAAGTAGAGATGTGTGATGTGTCATTTATTGATTGAATAACGAACATAACTATAACATTATTTTTAATATAAATAAATAATAGCACCCCCATTATGAGAAAAATTAGGAGAAGAAATAGTATAGTCAATTGGACATTTGGACTAGGTCTCTTCTATCTATGCTTATATATTAATTAATAATTCAACAAACATGTCCGTTAATTCTAGGTTCGTTAAAGTTGTAAATTGTATCAATGGTATGCTTTACAAAATTAATACTCCCTCCGTCCCGGATTTATCTTCATTCTTTCCTTTTCGGTCCGTCCCAAATTTATCTCCTTTTTCCCTTTTTGGTAAAGAATATGTGGTTCACAACCATTCTTACGCATTTCTCTCTCCTCTGCATAACTCTCTACCACACAAATCCCACTATCTTAAAACCCGTGCCCGGTCAAAACCGGAGTTAAATATGGGACGGAGGGAGTAATAGATAATCCTATTTAAAGTTGAAATCTATAAATTGTATACTTTGTAATTCTTTAATATAACATGTCCGTTAATTAGGGATGAACCGGTTCCGGTTCGGGCCTGGGCCCGACCGGGCCTCGATTCATGAAGGGGAGGCCCGGAACCGGCCCGGGTAACCCCCGGGTCCGGGCCGGGCCTCGATTCTATTTTTTTTTATTTTTCCTAGTTAACCCCCAACCCTCCCCCTCACCCCAACAAACCCTAACCACCTCAAATGGCCCAAAATACCCAACCCAACCCAAAAACTTAAAAAAAAATCCAAAAAAAAAAATTGGCCTGACCCGGGCCTGAACCGGCCGGGCCGGTTCACCTTTTGAAGGCCCCGAGCACGAACCGACATCCCACCGGGCCGGGTGGTCCGAACCGGCCAACCAACCGGTTCACTGGGCCGGTCCGGGCCCGCACAGTAGCGGGCCGGTCCGGTTCCGGGCCGGTTGGCCCGGCCCGAGTCCACCCCTACCGTTATTTTCATTCGATCCTTTATTTATACGTATCATTTTGAAAAATCAACAAATAGTTATAAATTATGTATATGCATATGATGAAACATAAGAATCAATATACAACATGAATAAATTACAAATTAAATGCTTTATGACTAAGTTATCAAGTCCTCACAAGTAACGAATACGGACACTAAGACTACTTATTAAATTATCATCTCTTAATTGATACGAACACTAATGGGGCTTTTACATGAACATTATCACGGTGGGATATCGCTAATTCGCTATCAGATTTTATTGTCACTTACATATGTCATTAACGCTATCGCATATTCGCTGCCGCTCCCGGTGTCACCGCCGGTGTCATCGACGTCACTGCCGATGCACTGACACCACCGCCGACAGTGTAAATGTGGTAGGCGAAAAAAATTTCAACGATTCTTTTCGGATAAACTTAAATTTTAACCAAATATGACTGCTACCCCTCCGACACTGCAAACTGTCTTGCAAAAAGTTTTACAAGGTAGATTGAATATAAGATTAGGTTGTTTTGAATTAGACCGGACCAAATCAGACTACTTCGGAGTTAAATAAACTAGATCAGACTAAATGAAACTTTGACAATTGTAACTTACAAAGAGATAGAATCTACTATAGTCAAAAATAATTAATAGACTCCAAACTTTTGATCATATCATATAAATAGTTCACAATGTTTATTGATATTTCTTATTCGAACCTATATCAAATTAACACTACCGGGGCATGCCCCAGGTGCTACATTAGTTTTCTTAATTTTTGTGGCTTAAATATGCTTTTAGTCCATGCAAATATAATACATTTTGTTTTACATCCCTGCAATTTTTTTGTTTGTTTTTCGTCCCTGCAATTCATGTTGATTTTCTTCTTTTTTTCCATCACTAATAACAACAATCTCCGTTTAACCTCAAAGTAACCCTGACTAATAAAACCCCTCAAATTCATTGTCATGTTATTAAAAAGTATTTAATTTTAGTTTTTAGAAGGTTTTAATATACATTTTTAAAATGTGAATATTTGATTTTACATTGTTTTAACTCTCATATTAGCTTCAAAAAATTATAAAATGACAAATTTAAATTATTCTAGTAGATATCACAATTAGACATGGACTAAAAATAAATTAGTTCACATTACAAGGATGAAAAATAAATAAAACATTTTGTAGGAACCTAAAACAAAATGTGTCATATTTGTAGAGACTAAAAACATATTTAAACGTTATTTTTTTAATAAAATATATTTTCCAATTTAATTTTTCAATAATTCAACGGATGTACTCAACTCATGCACTTGATGTTGACCCTAAAAGTGACTAAATTCTTTCTAAATCTCTTAAATAGGACTAAACATATATTTTTCCCTAAATGAGACCAGATTACCCATTTACCCTTGTTTTTTCTCCTTCCCCCTTTCCTCACCGTTCTTTTTCTCCCCCTTTGAAAATGCCATTAAAATGGTATTCGTGATTCATTTTGACATTTTGATAAAAATGTTGACATTCATGTCGGGAAAAGCCAGATCTGAAACGATAAAGACCAGATTTGCAGTGGGAGATTCCAGATTAGCTGCGACGGTGGCCGAATCTACATCAGCGACAGTCAGATCTACAACGGTGGACATTTTAGAGGTGGTAGAGACGTCCGGTGACTGACGACGACCAGCGGCGACCGTCGGCGACCGACGGCGACCGGCGACAAGCTGTGGTTCGGCGTTGTGGTCGGTGGCAGTGGGATTTCCAAGCTTCAGGGGTGTTTTTGTCCAATTACAAATAATAAGTCATATTTTGGGAATTTTTAAACTTTAGTCTTATTTTGACAATTAAAGATGTATTTACTCCCATTTAGGTAATTACCTCTAAAAGATTTTTTAGATGTTTTTGATTGGATTAGTTTTTATTTTTCTGATCGACCTGACCTCGTGTAATATGGTCTGAAAATTATTGATCTCGGAAATTTCTTTAAAAGTATCTTCTTTACTCTTTACACTCTCTAAATTTGATCTTGTAAATTTCTTATCGTCCGATCTGTTTAGGTCTCCTTCCACTCCCCATTGAAAGGGGTACAACTAAAAGTATCTCGAATAATCGAATAAGCGTTCTCCTTTAGGCCATTAGCCCTCTCTTCAGGTCCGGCAATCCTATTACAGCTATTTGCCGCCCTTCTTTCTTCCATGATAAATTGACACAGACATCCAGTGGTCAAGGTATTTCCTTTTCCGTGCTGTATCTTCAATTGTAGCTGCTTCAACTTCCGGCCTCTTTTCTTAATTTGTCATTAAAAATTATATCTTGTTTATATTATATACGAAGTATCAAATTTTTATCAAATTTTATTTTGGTTTTTACGACTTTGTAAAGCTTTTAAGGTAGTTTTTGAATATGTAATTCTTTTTTTCTAAAAATAATTTGAGTGCGGACCTGGATCTTTATGTATAGTCTTTTAAACATCGTAAACCGTAAAGTGCCTTACAATTTGGGACGGAGTAAAGTTTATTAATAAAATAATCCGCTACAACAACTTTAGCCAATACAATCATAAAAGTAACTCCAATCTTACTTTTTCTTATTATTACACAATTCAATGTCAACAAGCGCGTGGAAAAAATTACGTGTTTGGTGAAAACGTTGGCCGATAAGCCTGATAATTCGAAAAACAGGGTCAACAAACGGGCTCTACATCTTGTAACAGCCTATTTTTTGAAGATGGGTATGAAACACCCCTCTACAGAATATGTTTTCACATTTCAGACAAGTATTTGTCTTTTTCTTTTTAGTTTGTTTTTCAATTTCACGAATTTATATATGGTTAGGGCCTTAGGGAAAATGCTAACAATAACCTTTGTGTTCAACAGTCTAAGTATACAATAATAATTCCATTTGTACTTTGTTTTGTTGTTTTAAAAAATGGTTGTTTTTTTGAAATTATTCATGATAATGTATATCATTTATGATTGTATGGTTTATTTCTCCTCAAAATAAAACATCAGCCACATAATTGCCACTTTCTGAAAACAGTACCACGTTAAAAGGAAAATAAGGGGCTGCTGGAACATATTAATAATAAAACGAGTTTAAACAATTATCCATGGTAAATTTTAGTTCCTATTTCTTCTCCCTCAAATTTAATATCATCCAAATTTCTCATCCCCTAGCAATTTCATGGTCCCAACATCCAAATTCTCTTATTTTACTAACAAAAATTGCTATTCAAATACATAATCTCTAATTTACCATTTCCTTAAGGAGTGGATATGTTCTGTGAAATTATGTTATGATGATGATTAAACTGTACCTGCATTTGCTTTCCTTGTCCAGGGTATGGATGTGGATGAACATAATTCTTTGTCAACTATGGATCCTTCTTCTACACTCACTGATAATCAAAGCACGGTTTCATCTAATGATGCAATTTCACATCAACCAATTCAACCACTTGTAGCACCCGGGGTTTTGCCTCCTCCAGTTGCTCCACCTCTGGCACCTCTCCCTATGCGACCGCCGGCACTTAAGCCTCCTTCAACGGTGCAAAACGGAGATGCACACACTAGCGATTCAGATTCTGACCATGATGAATCAGGTGCTGGAATGGTTGAACCTGCTCAAGAGTACGAGATATCTGAAGAAAGCAGACTGGTGAGAGAGAGACAAGAAAAAGCGATGCAAGAGCTTCTGCTGAAGCGAAGAGCTGCTGCTCTAGCGGTCCCCACAAATGACATGGCTGTTCGAGCTCGTCTTCGCCGGCTCGGTGAGCCCATAACCTTTTTTGGGGAAAGGGAGATGGAGAGACGGGACCGACTGAGGGCACTTATGGCGAGACTTGATTCAGAAGGGCATCTGGAAAGGCTGATGAAAGCTCACGAGGATGAAGAAGCTTTTTCGGCTTCTGCTGGACCCACTGAAGATGATGATGAGATTCAATACCCGTTTTATACTGAAGGATCAAAAGCGCTTTTAGATGCTCGCCTGGAGATCGCAAAGTATTCTATTGTGAAGTCAGCTTCACGTCTTGATCGTGCTAGGAGAAAAAGGGATGATCCTGATGAAGATTTGGATGCTGAAGTGGATTCGGCTTTAAACCAAGCAGGAACTCTAGTTCTTGATTGCAGTGAGATTGGAGATGATCGTCCGCTTTCTGGTTGCTCACTGTCACATGATGGTGAGATGCTTGCCACCTGGTAATCCCTTCTCTGTAAGAGTGTTTTCTGATGCATATATATTATGATAACATCTTTATAGATTTGAACTTTTATTTGTACATTTTCTTTTTTCCAGTCAATGACTAACATTAAGGATAATTGGAAAAGAAAACCCATTTCAGTTAATGATAATTACAACAATGATGCCTTATTAGTGCTAGCCATTGTTTGAAAAAAAAGATAGAGATTAAAAGTTCTCATTGTAAAGGACTAAAAGTGTTCTTGATAAGATGGGTTCTCACTTGAACCCTACCTTATGAGCGTGTGTGTATTTTTACGTGTATATGTATGTAGTTATGTGTATTCATATATGTGTGTGACTGTGTGTATCTTAATAGATAATTAAATAGTGCCTCCGTCCTTACTTCCCAAGTTTGACATGGCACGGTTATTAATAAGAAAGTAAATTTGTGCGGTTGCAAATGATGTTAAAAGGAAATATATATATATATATATAAGAGATCAAATACAAACCATGCTTAAAATACTAACCTACAAACTCAATAATATGCATCACTTTAAACTTCAATATGCAGTAAAAATAATGTAAAGATGCAGGGGTGTGATCACATACAAACTAGTCCTTCCATTCAAATCATCTTTACATTATTTGTATTGCACATTGAAGTTCAAAGTGTTTCATATTATTCAAGCCATAAAATAGCAGTTTCATATTTACATTATTTGTATTGCATATTGAAAATCAAAGAGTGCATCTTTACATTATTTGTACTGCATATTGAACTCCAAAGTATTGCATATTATTGAGTTTGTAGGTTAGTAAGTTAAGCATAGTTTGTATGTGATCTCACCCCTCTATGTATGTATATGGTGCGGTTCCGATAATAACCATCCTTATCGTGCAAACTACAAACCGTCACTTTTGACTCAATTTGATTCACTTTAAAGCTCGTCTCTTGTACTTTTTGAACTTTGGTCGAATCATGTCACAGAGAAAAAAACGGTGGCACTTTTGTATATAAGTCAAAGTTGTATGCCATTGTGAAAAAATGCAATATAGAAACCTAATAGTGCATCACAATGGGGAAAAAGTGACTGGTTTGTAGTTTTCACGAGAAGAAAGATTTTTATTTGATCAGGAATCTATATATATATATATGTATATATATGTATGTATGTACATAGAGTGCGGTTCCGGTGAGAACACTCCTTAACGTGAAAAATGAGAACACTTTTTCAAATCTGCACATTTATAGTTAAAGTAATGTAAAATTCAAATCTGCACATTTACGTTTAAACTTTCGCACAGTTGAAATGCACATTTTCCAATTTTTAATATGCAAATTTCTGTTTTACATGATGCACGCTACATAAATCCATCGCTCCAGAATCATTCTCATTTCTCTCTTTAGATCATGTTCTCATATGATCCCTACTCTATGTATATATATAGCAACCTCACAAAGCATTCTTTAAAATGTAATAGGGAGACCATTTTGGGATGGCGGTAGTGTGTGTCTGTATAAAGTTCCAGTGCAATGGGAGAATTCTTTGTGCTACGGTCATGTCTTTGGCTTTTGGAATTTCTGGTCTACTCTGTGTACATGCAGTTATTTTTTGGTTGTACACTTTTTTTATACCATAAGCATGTGGCTCTGATTTGGTTTTGAAATAGTTCTTTTATCATTTCCACCCTATGATAGATAATAGGCTCACATGCACTCTCCCCGTCCCAAAAAGAGTCCGATGCTAGTATGGTATACCTTTTTATATTTCGTCAACTAAATCAAGGTGAAGCCTTTGCAAAAATTATGAAATGGACACATGAGCCTCTAAAAACTTATTCTCAAGTTTTTGAGTGATTGAGTAGAACTGTTTGCTGCTTGGATTTGCAGGAATTTTACTTCAAAAAAAAAGTTCTGAAACTGGACTGTTTTCTTGGGATAAAAAAGTTTGGGAGACACGACTCTTTTGTATTGGGATGGAGGAAACACTTGCTTCTTTTACTTTAGACCCTCCTTCATTCTTAAGTGAGTGCTATTACTTATATTCATAGATGTCACATTTGGCTTTCTTTTGAACTGAAGATTTAAAAGATATATTTTTATACCATCTTTTTGTAAGTTGATGTTGCCCATTATTCTGAAATTCCTCCATAATCCAACAACGACAATACACTTTTAAATGTTATCAAGACTAAACTAAGTTTCCATTCATTGTATTATATTTCCCCTAATCTCTCTTTCTCTCTGGAGTCTGAATTTTCTTAGATGTGCATATCTTTAGAATCCTTCAACAGGTTGCTGATTTTTCCTGTAATCTTTGTATATGTATAGTTCTCTGAGTGGAGTAGCAAAGCTATGGAGCATGCCTCATGTAAAGAAGGTTTCTACCCTTAAGGGACATCACGAGCGAGCTACTGATGTTGCATTCTCTCCAACATGCAATCATCTAGCAACTGCCTCTGCTGACCGAACAGCAAGATTGTGGAACGCAGAAGGGTCTCTTTTGAGGACTTTTGAGGGCCATTTGGATCGTCTGGCACGGATTGCCTTCCATCCAACTGGAAAATACTTGGGCACAACTAGCTTTGATAAGACATGGCGTTTGTGGGATGTGGAAACCGGTGAAGAGTTGCTTCTTCAGGAAGGACACAGTAGGAGTGTGTATGGACTATCTTTTCACCATGATGGCTCCTTGGCTGCATCTTGTGGACTAGACTCACTTGCCCGTGTTTGGGATCTTAGGACAGGAAGAAGTGTTCTTGCTTTTGAAGGTCATGTTAAACCTGTAAGTTTTTTACTTTCTGTATGTTTTAATCACTGGAAATGCCAGGATAGGAAGTTATATACTGACAACAACCATTTTCTTATTTTTATTTGTCTTTTACAATGCAAAGGAAATGAAATATATTTTTTTTCCCACAAATCAAAGACCATATGTCCGCAACTGATCACCATTAACATTTAACAAGAATCATTTTTTTTTGAAAGAGAAGATGTTATTCATAAAAAGAAAGGGTACAAGCGAGAAAAATAGTACAGAAAAGGAAAGGAAATGAAATATAATTATTTTTACATATATTCAGATTTCTTAGAGCCTATTTGGCAACATTAATTTTCTTGTTCTTATCAACATAATAATCCCTCCGTCCTGAATTGAAGTGTGCAAATTTTGACCGGCACAAGGATTAAGGAAGTATAGAAATAAAAGTTGGCTTTACCATTTTACCCTTTTATCAAAAGAAGGAAAAATCTCAAGAGTTGCGTGAAAACTGAAGCATCCTGAAAAAGTACAATTGCTACAGAGGGAGTACTTCGTTTTTCAAAGCTGAAAAGTGAAACCCAATCCCTTCACTCATCTTTGCTCTCTTCTCCTCACATGGGGATTCTGTTTTCTCTTCTCCCATTTCAGCTTCAGATTAGTATAACCTTCTTCTTCGCCCTCTCGCCACAACCCAGAAGGCCCTCTCCTTCACTCGGCTGCAGCTTGATGCGGAATCATCCAAGGAGCTCCAGCATGTCGATCTTTATCTGATGCCACCCTAAATTCTACCCCTAAAGCCCTCTTGGAGAAGAGAATGCAGCGTGATGCAGCTGGAGTCGACGCTCGCCGCGGACAATGCCACCGTCAGCGTCCAATCCAGCAATTGCAGAGCCAACTTCAGTAGCTCCGTCATCTCCAGGCTTGTTCAGGCACTTCAGGGGACCGGCGACCGGAAAGTACTTCACGCGTGACGCGCCTCAATGTTGGCTCCTAGGGCCGATTCCCAAGGCCTCTCATCTTCTTTAAAACCTGGAAGATAATTGAAATTCTCCGTACGTACTAGGGTTTATGAACACTCAATCTGAAACTGGAATTTTTAGGGGAAGAAAAAGAAGCTCAAACAGTATTGGGCATGAGTAAGACGTACAATGGTGGTTGGGATTTGGGAATTAATATCTCTGTACATGGGGAAATAAAATCCAAGGGAATATGTGTCATTTTATTCATTTCCCTTTACTTAAAATAGAAAGTAGAAAAACATTTTGGGACGGCCAAAAAATAAAATTTTGCAAAACAAATTGGGACGGAGAGAGTAATTACAATAAGTACAACATTTATTTGGCTGAAATCAATTTTAGTGAATGCCTTTCCTTTCATAAATTCAGCGGATTCAACTATTTTAGCCAAATAATCCTTAGCAAACAAGAACTAATTTCTATATGTATGCATAGATACTATGGGTCATCCGGAAACAGTCTCTCTGTGCTTTAGTACAGGGGTAAGACTGCGTACATCCGACCCCCCCTTACCCCACCGTAGGTGGGAGCCTTTGCGGCACTGGGTAAATGAAAATGATGATGATGCATAGATAAAATAGAGTATAAACAAAAATCTAAAAGAAATGCATTCAGTTTTAGCATATCTTTTATCTCCCTTACATTCTCTTTCAGTATAATTTGCATATAGTCCGTTTCGTGTTTTATTTTTCTAGCATTTTCCGAGTGCCAAACAAGCTATTGGTGTCTGTTTTTTCTTTTTCCTTTCATTTGATTTTTGTTTTACTGTATTTAGGCAAAAGATAATACTTTGTGATTTATGACAAGAAAAAATTTATTTTAGGAAAGAGGCAAATAAGTCCACGTACTAACCAAAAAAAGTCAAATAAGCCCTTATATAGGAGGCTATGTCCGACCGTCGTCATTTGGGGCTGTTTCCGGTGGAAATTTTTTATGCAGTTTTTTGAGCATATTTATTAATCAAGTCTAGTTTACTCATATCAAATTTCAGCTAAAACGTCAATCGGGAAGGCATTCAAATGAATTCTTGAAGATAACTGCACGGTTAAAAGTGCAGTTGTCTTCAAGGATTTATTTTAATGTCTTTCCAATTGAATTGTTAGCTGAAATTAGGTTTGAGTAAACTAGACTTAATGATTAAGATTCTCAAAAAAATTCATCAAAATATTACACCGGGAACTGCCCCAAATGGCGACGGCCGGACAGAGCCTCATATATAAGGGCTTAGTTGACATTTTTTGGTTAGTACGTGGACTTATTTGCCCCCTTTTCCTTTATTTTAACGATGGTTTCAGGTTCTTGGTATCAGTTTTTCTCCAAATGGGTACCATTTAGCTACTGGCGGTGAAGACAATACTTGCCGAATTTGGGATCTGAGGAAGAGAAAATCTCTCTACACTATACCTGCCCACTCAAATCTCATATCCCAAGTTAAATTTGAACCTCAAGAAGGATACTTTTTGGTGACGGCTTCATATGATATGACTGCGAAGGTATGTCAGCTGTGTAAATTTGGTTCGGTTTGCTGCTCTCATTCTTCGAACACTTAAAATTTGCACTTGGTTTCAGGTGTGGTCATCAAGAGACTTTAAGCCTGTTAAGACGCTAACTGGACACGAAGCCAAAGTTACTTCATTGGATGTTATGGCAGGTTAGATTTTTCTATACTCGAAGCTAATTATACATTTGTTTTTGTGTTTAAGAGTCCTTGTGGCTGAACCGATGACGAACACTTTGTCGTAGTGCGTCAAAATAAGTTCCAATACTAACACATCGTCGTAGTGGAAATGAATACTTCTCTTTTTATAAAACTATGTAAATAAAAGGGGGAATATGGATTGAATGATTTGATTTAATAAGAAACTAAGATGAACGACTTATATGAGATTTAATTCAAAAATAAAGGGACTTGACCTTGCTACTTTCCACTTGTTGATATATTTTAGTCGATCATTGTTAAATCTATAACTTGTCCCCTCTCGAATACTCAATCGAGGAGTATATCCAATTCATCGAGGGTAGTTATTAACAACGACCGTTCATTAATAACCCTTACTATTAATCAAATATAGAACAACGCCTTATACCGATTTAATTGTAGCATTTAATCTTTCTAACTCCTTGATGAAATCAATTGAGATTGATAACCTCAACACAACGGTTTTGATTTAACCAACAAAATTGATCCCTCTCAAGTTTATTAACCACAACCGTGCGTTAATAAATCGAAGTTACTTACTTGTGAAACCAACAACGATTAACCATCGATTCGTTGATCGTTTCTAGTAGTAATTAATGTCGGAACGTTAACTAATCGTCACTTAGCAACCCTCCAACATTAATATAGATTGAGATTAAGGGAATAATTAATAATTGAGAGAAGAAGTTAAGAAAATAACTCACAACTTTAATTATCAACAAGCTTCAAGAGCAAAACCAAGAAATGGAAGTTTAGCTCCTCATTTGGAGACTAAACATACAAGAAAAAAAATAAAGAAATGCTATTCTAAACTGAGCTTAGGAGTATAGAAGAAAAGATGATTTTTAGTAAAGGAAAAGTGTGCTATTTATAGGTGTCTTTCAACACCTTGGGCCGGGTACCCGACCGGGTTAAGTGCCCACCTGACCGGGTGCATGTCAAAATCAGATAATCTTCCACGTTCTTGTGTTTTAGCACGTTAAACTGTCCCAGGTCAAATTCGACCTGACCGGGTGGTATAGGGGATCCGACCGGGTCTGTGCAATTTCCAGTCACCTTCGTCTGTTAAATCTTACCCGACCGGGTCAAGTGTTTATGCCCGGTCGGGTTTCAGCCCCTTGACAGTTCAATCTCCTTTTGCTTCATTTCAAAGTCCTCATTTTCAACACCATAATTCCTAATTCTACTTTACAACTTACAAATGAAGATTAAAATACAATTACAATTAAAGTCAAACAAATGTTCTCAAACTAACTAAAACGGTAAACAATCCACACAAATCAAACATAAAAGCAAACATTTATGCACTACTAATTAGTGCATATCAAACATCCCCACACTTGAATCTTTACTCGTCTCGAGTAAATGCAATACAAGGAGTCCTCAAATGATAAGATCATCAACCATTACAAAATGTTTTTAGAAACTAAATAATCACAAAGTATCCCCAACATAAAAAGAAAACATCAAGGGATCTTCATTCTTTTTGCTCATGCAATGAACTCTCTTTAGTAATCACCTTTAGGATCCTGCAAAATCAAAAGAAATACTCTCACTCTCTCATTTTGCCTAGGTGCCCTTTCGGGTTTTCAACTCGGCTTCCCACATTTTTCTTTAATAAATCTCACAAACTCTCTAATTTTTGCTTTATTTTTTGCTTAAGCTGCACTTTGTGGGTTTTCAACTTAACAAGCCGTTTTTTTATAAAATAGAAACAAGAATGAAGAGTATGAATGTGAGCATACCAGAAAGATTCTCCCCCCATGCTAGTTCACGGCACTGTCCCTAGTGTCCGCCCGCATCGCCGCCATCATAAAATTCTCCATAGCCATGATAGCCCCTATAATGTGTATCCTCATCCATGTAATCGCTTCCATCACCGGGGTTTGGACCGTCAAAATAACCCCATTCAGTGGGATTATACCAAGAGGGTGCAGGAGGAGGAGTGGTCATAGATACAAAGTCACCCTGATGTGCTATGTAGGAGTAGATAGGACCATAAGTCCTCTTCATGTCTTCCTGATCTCTCTGTCGGTCCTCCTTATACCGTTGCCAGTCTCTTTGTCTTTGCTCCTCTATCCCTTCGAAGCTCTGTTGTTGTTCACACTATATAGTCTAATATCTTCTCGAAGGTTGGTATAGTTGAGGTTGAGGGCAGCCATACTATTGAGCAGTTCTTGCTCAAATGGTGAAAATTGGTGAGCATTGGGTTGTGGCTTGGGTTGTGGTTGGGGTTGTTCGGGTATGAGGGGTGGAGGTTCAATTGCGGCTTGATCATGGTGAGGTTCCTGTGGTTGATAATGGGGTGGTATTCTACCGGGGAGACAATAATGATGCCCATCACCGATTTGGTGATTCAAAAGGTCCAAGGGGAGGTCAGGTGGGGGTAATTGGAAAAAAATGTCTTCAGGTAGGTTGATTAACCAGTTGTAGAAGTTAACCCCTCCGGGTGTTGTGTGAGAAAAGTTGACATCTTTGGTATTCTCCACAAGCCATTTTGTGCAGATAAGTTGTTTTGTGGTAATGGGGTCGGGGTCTACAAAACCATATAGAGTGGCTAAATGTGTGATTATGCCTCCATCGCAATTGGCCCTGTGGAAGTTGCCACTTTGTTGAAGTGAGTCCACAGAATTGTGGCAACATACACCTGATCCGGGCCCGGTAAAACAGCTTGTGAAAGAACACAAACATCCCATATCCTTGTGTGATGGTTATTCGGTCTTCCGAGAAAACAGTTTGATAAGAATTTCAAGAAAATTCGGAAGACCGGATGTTGTTCACGATTCACATTAAGATGACGAAAATCAACATCTACCTGACCTGTCATCCTTTGCCATAACTCTACACCCACAAAAGTGTCATAATTACGTTCTTCATCAAACATAGGGAGGCCAAAGTGTTGGGTGAACTCTCGCTTGGTCAATGAACGGTCCTCATTTAGCAAACAAAATTTGATTGTACTTTCAGCATGGTCATCAACATTTGTAGTTCGCACAAATGAACTAAAAAATTAATACACCAAATGTGGGTAGGTAACATGTTGCATCTCAAACACCCTAAGCATTCCAGTATTTGTAAAGAGTTCACGCATAATGGTATCAAACATGAATGTCAATAGGGTAGTAATGCAAATGAACCGGGACTGTTTTACCTTTCGTTTGGTTTGCTCTATGAAGCGCTGCTTTTGGACCTTCGTTGCTAAGTCCACACTCTCAAAGCCTTTCACGGGTGAGATGGCCCTATTACCTCTTGAAGAAGATGCCTTTGATTTTTTTGGAGCCATGAAATTTGTTTTTTTTGGCTTTTTTGTTGAGTGATTTTCGGAATTTTGGCTATGGTGAAGTTTGGATGGTTTTTATGGGTATGGTGTTGAAGAGGATGATGAGGAGAGCAAGAATATGGTATTGGTTAAGGATTTGTGGCTTGAGTTTGGACCTTGAGTGCCCAAAAATGGGGATTTTCGAGCTTGGGGTAGGGTTTTGTGGATTTGGTTGATTTGGTGACTTTGGAAAGGATTTATGTGTATAGGATGGAAGAGTGTGTAAAGGAGATGAAGAATATGGTGTTAATTGATGGATTTGGTGTAGAAATGGTGATGTTTCGAAGCTTTGAAGCTCAACAATGGAGGTTGGAGGGGGGGGTCATGGGGGAGAAGAGAAGATGGGGAAGAAAGCTGCCCGCCCGCCCCCCTTATCGGGCTTTTGCCCGACCACCTGGCCGGGTATAGTGACTGACCTGGTCGGGCGTAAGCTGTTCACCCGAGGCAGAGTTTTTGCCGGGTTACCCGGCCGGGTATGGTGACTGACCCGGTCAGGCGTAAGCTGTTCACCCGAGGTAGAGAGTTTTTGCCGGGTTACCCGTGAAAGGCTTTGAGAGTGTGGACTTAGCCACGGAGGTCCAAAAGCAGCGCTTCATAGAGCAAACCAAACGGAAGGTAAAACAGCCCCGGTTCATTTGCATTACTACCCTATTGACATTCATGCTTGATACCATTACGCGTGAACTCTTCACAAATACTGGAATGCTTAGGGTGTTTGAGATGCAATATGTTACCTATCCACATTTGGTGTATTAATTTTTTAGTTCATTTGTGCAAACTACAAATGTTGATGACCATGCTGAAAGTACAATCAAATTTCGTTTGCTAAATGAGGACCGTTCATTGACCAAACGAGAGTTCACTCAACACTTTGGCCTCCCCTTGTTTGATGAAGAACGTGATTATGACACTTTTGTGGGTGTAGATTATGACAAAGGATGACAGGTCAGGTAGATGTTGATTTTCGTCATCTTAGTGTGAATCGTGTACAACATCCGGTCTTCCGAATTTTCTTGAAATTCTTATCAAACTATTTTCTCGGAAGACCGAATAACCATCACACAAGGATATGGGATGTTTGTGTTCTTTCACAAGCTGTTTTACCAGGCCCGATTCAGGTGGATGTTGCCACAATTCTGTGGACTCACTTCAACAAAGTGGCAACTTCCATAGGGCCAATTGTGATGGGAGGCTTAATCACACATTTAGCCACACTATCTGGTTTTGTAGACCCCGACCCCATTACCACAAAACAACTAATCTGCACAAAATGGTTTGTGGAGAATACCAAAGATGTCAAATTTTCTCACACAACACCCGGTGGGGTTAACTTTTACAACTGGTTAATCGACCCACCTGAAGACATTTTTTTCCAATTACCCCCACCTGACCTCCCCTTGGACCTTTTGAATCACCAAATCGGTGATGGGCATCATTACTGTCTCCCCGGTAGAATACCACCCCATTATCAACCACAGGAACCTCACCATGATCAAGCCGCAGTTGAACCTCCACCTTTCATACACGAACAACCCCAGCCACAACCTAATGCTCACCAATTTTCACCATTTGAGCGAGAACTGCTCAATAGTATGGCTGCCCTCAACCTCAACTATACCAACCTTCGAGAAGATATTGGACTATATAGAAGTGAACAACAACAGAGCTTCGAGAGGATAGAGGAGCAGAGACTGACAACGGTATGAGGAGGACTGACAGAGAGATCAGGAAGACATGAGGAGGGCTTATGGGCCTATCTACTCCTACATAGCACATTATGGTGACTTTGTATCTATGACCACTCCTCTTCCTGCTCCCTCTTGGTATAATCCCACTGAATGAGGTTATTTTGGCGGTCCAAGCCCCGGTGATGGAAGCGATCACATGGATGAGGATACACATTATGGGGGCTATCATGGCTATGGAGGATTTTATGATGGCGGCGATGCGGGCGGACACTAGGGACAGTGCCGTGAACTAGCATGGGGGGAGAATCTTTCTGGTATGCTCACATTCATACTCTTCATTCTTGTTTCTTGAAATTGGGCTACACTTTGTTGTATCGTAGCCATGTTCATGGCTAGTGCTCGAATCATGTCTTCGGTGGACATGTTCGAGTTCGATGTTTGGCCTTGTTTATATTGTTGAGGAGGAGTGTTTGATTGTTGAGGGGGTTGAGAGTTTCCGTACCTTAAATTTGGATGATCCCTTCATCCTGGATTGTAGGTGTTGCCGTGAGGATCATACCTCTTTTGACCTTGGAAATCCAAAGCATTGACTTGCTCGGGGTTCTCCTCGTGTAATGTTGGGCAAGAGTGGGTGGGGTGCCCTTGTGTCGAACATATGCCGCAGACCTTGACTTTTTGGGTTTTGGAATTCAAAAGAAAATCTTTTACCAAAGAAGTCAAGCCAGTCACTTGACTTGTCAAACCGTTCACTTGACTTTCCAACGAGTTGTTGAATTCTACCGCCATAACTCGTTTTGATGACGACCTCCCATTGTAATGTCTCGAATTTTCGGCCAACTCCGAAATGAGGTCTCTTGCTTGAGAAGGAGTTTTGTTGATCAACAAATCCATCATAGAAGTAGAGGATGAGATCTTGTTCCGAATACCCATGATATGGGCAACTAGCGCATAATTTTTTAAAGCGCTCCCAATATTCGTACAAGGTCTCATCATCCGCTTGCTCAATGTTGCTTATTCTCTCTCGAATACTCAATCGAGGAGGATATCCAATTCATCGAGAGTAGTTATTAACAACGACCGTTCATTAATAACCCTTACTATTAATCAAATATAGAACAACGCCTTATACCGATTTAATTGTTGCATTTAATCTTTTTAACTCTTTGATGAAATCAATTGAGATTGATAACCTCAACACAACGGTTTTGGTTTAACCAACAAAATTGATCCCTCTCAAGTTTATTAACCACAACCGTGCGTTAATAAATCGAAGTTACTTACTTGTGAAACCAACAACGATTAACCATCGGTTCGTTGATCGTTTCTAGTAGTAATTAATGTCGGAACGTTAACTAATCGTCACTTAGCAACCCTCCAACATTAATATAGAATGAGATTAAGGGAAGAATTAATAATCGAGAGAAGAATTTAGGAAAATAACTCACAACTTTAATAATCAACAAGCTTCAAGAGCAAAACCAAGAAATGGAAGTTTAGCTCCTCATTTGGAGACTAAACATAGTAGAAAAAAATAAAGAAATGATATTCTAAACTGAGCTTAGGAGTATAGAAGAAAGGATGATTTTTAGTAAAGGAAAAATGTGCTATTTATAGGTGTCTTTCAACACCTTGGGCCGGGTACCCGACCGGGTTAAGTGCCCACCTGACCGGGTGCATGTCAAAATCAGATAATCTTCCACGTTCTTGTGTTTTAGCCCGTTAAACTGTCCCGGGTCAAATTCGACCTGACCGGGTGGTATAGGAGACCCGACCGGGTCTGTGCAATTTTCAGTCACCTTCGTCTGTTAAATCTTACCCGACCGGGTCAAGTGTTTATGCCCGGTCGGGTTTCAGCTCCTGGACAGTTCAATCTCCTTTTGCTTCATTTCAAAGTCCTCATTTTCAACATCATAATTCCTAATTTTACTTTACAACTTACAAATGAAGATTAAAATACAATTACAATTAAAGTCAAACAAATGTTCTCAAACTAACTAAAACGGTAAACAATCCACACAAATCAAACATAAAAACAAACATTTATGCACTACTAATTAGTGCATATCAACCGACTAAATTTGGACCATTTTTTAGTACCATTGCTTGTCCCAAGCTAGGATAAAGGAGTAGGGTGTTGTTGTAGCCATGTGACAACCAACAGTATAACTTAGTCACATGACATGAGTCAAAATATATTTCAAATAAGTTGAAGAAAATTATATCTAAAATTGAAGGCTTTTCATTTTAATTATTTTTGGTGTAAAAAATTAAAATTAACTTATGCCTAAATATCATTGGATTATCGGCTGATTCAGCTTGGGTAGTAAATAAGTTAGTCTGGTGAAAATCAAGCTCCTAACGGTGATGCAAGTGTTGTCATCTTAACATACTTGGATAACCAGCAAATCAAGCTCCTAAATACAAGGTGAAGTTTACGCCTACCCGTAATTGATCACCACCTTAGTGTCTAGTCTGTTTCTCACTTAGGCCCCGCCTGATTCCACTTATGTCCTGTCTAACTCCCATTTGATCTCGAGTAGGTTCTAGGCCCCACTTTGCTCCATCGCTGGTGTCTAGAGCTCTAAAGGATATCAGATAGCCACAATGTGTAGCTTAACTCCTAACGTTTGGCCTTGGGTGCAAATAGTTCAATACGCCCTTAAGGTTACTTGAGGTGCAAATGCACATCTGCTAAAGTACATATAAGAAATTAAACAGTGGTAAGCAAATACATGGTTGCCTACTATTTCTGAAATTCAATGAACTTTAGCGAATTAAAGAGGTTGGTGACTTGGTGTTGCCTGCCTCATAACAATTAAAGCAACGACAATATAGGATCCACCTAGAAAGCCAACATAAGAAGATTCTCTGAAAGAGCAGTGAAGTATGGTGAAAATTTGTTAATCGCATAGTTTTTCTGTTTGATTGCCTTTCCTCAATTCGGGTTCTTTTTCGCACTTTTCCAATACAAAGCTATAATTTGGTCTATAGTTGTTTGGTTCGGATTAAGGAGTTGACATAGGAAAAAGTAAAAGTGAAGAGTGAATTGAAAGAGGTAAAAGAAATGCATCAGAAAGCTCTTGTTTATGATGTGAGCGTGTAACAAGTTATAATTGAAATTGTTGATTTAATAAGCATGATAGCGCTGCCGGGTTGGTAGGACGAAATTATTGATATAAATGGTTACCATCTGTTGAGAAGAACAATGAATAAGTTTATTCTTATACACTTAATACTCGAGAAAAGCTAGAGAACGGAAAGTACAAAGGAAAATTAAACATTATATCGTTTAATTATTTTGACATAATATTAGACTGGTCCGTAATTTTCATCATTTGCAATGGAGCCAAAGATTCACTATTTTTTGGCTTGAGAATATGATGGAATAAAGCAAAATGGTTCACTAAACTGTCTGCGCTTCTTTGTTATGAAGCAGCAGTCAGTCCATGCAATTTTGGACGCGGTTTTCATTATGGGTCATCCGGAAACAGTCTCTCTGTGCTATAGGACAGGGGTAAGACTGCGTACATCTGACCCCCCCCCTTACCCCACCGTAGGTGGTAGCCTTTGCGGCACTGGGGTAAATGATGATGATGATTAGATCGGTGCGTACTTATATGATACAAACAAGGGAAAATTCCCGAAATAGAAGTAAAAATGTTTTAGAATTCCAAAATAGGGCTGCCATGTTTTTATTTCTTAAATAGGAGTAATTATTATCTAGCTTGGAAAATAAAGCCATGTTTGAAGTCTGGTTATGCGGTTATGCCAAAACGTGGTAGTAATTATTCCTACTTAGAGAATAAAAGCACGAGAGTCCAATTTTGGAATTCACAAACATTTTTACTCCTATTTAGGGCAATTTCTTTACTAACAAATAACTACAATGAATTCTTTTAAAATGGTCTACTTTCCAAAATATTTTATTTATCCAAAATTTCTCCTCTATACTTCCTGCCTTCATTTCTTTCCCTAGCATTTTATGGGTTCTAAATAGAGCCTAAGGGTCTGTTTGCACGCAAGACCAAATGTTTGGCATGTATTTGCACCATTGCCCTACATATATTTAATCACCAAGTTTTTGTGTGTGTAGATGGACAGTTCATTGCTACAGTTTCACACGACAGGACAATCAAGCTATGGTCTAGCAAAAGCAATGAAAAAGAGAAGGCAATGGATATTGATTATTGACTACTAATTTAGTAAATTTTGCAGTGATATATTGGAAGTGATTGAATTTCTCAATCACCAATCAGAAAACTAGAATTTTTAAATGTATCGCACCCACTTGAGCCCTTCATGAGCTATAACGCCTTGATTTGCGTCTTGCTCGGTGGTCACCCTAAGATAAGGACGGGGAGGAAAGTGGTGGTGGTGGTGGTGGCTGGTAGGTAGCCGGATGCTGGGTTCAAATTCAATAATTAGCATTTGTTGTACAACTGATCTTCTTGTGGATTATGACTTTGTAATTGAAGAATGCCGATATTCAAAGGCTTGAAAGAATGTGCAGATATTGGAAATGCTTGTATTTGATTAATTAGGAGTTTAACTTCTGCTCCGCAGTCCGCACTTTGACATTCTTTTTTTACCCCAGGTGGGGTCAGGGGGTTTGGGGGGGGGGGGGGGGGGGGGGATCAAAATCACTCAATTGGGTATTGAACCCGGGACTGCCCATAAGGTAGAGTGAGTTGGAGACTACCTAAGCTGGATTTTTGTTATTATTATGAGTTTGTGGGAAAAACTCTTGGATGTAATTATTAGGGATGGATCCGGTTCCGGGCTGGGCCCGGGCGAGCTTTTTTTGCAAATCCATGGGCCCGGAACCGGCCTGGGTTGATACCGGGTCCAGGCCTAACCGGCCCGGGCCCGGCCCGGTTCAATGTCTATTTTTTTTTGCTTTCTTGTTATCCCCCACTCACCCCCACCCCCCAAACCTTCCAAAAACACCCAGCCCTAGCCTAGGAAAAGAAAAAAAATTGAAAAAACAAAAAAAATAAAAAGACCTGGGCCTGGCCCGAACCGCCCGGGCTGTTTCGCCCAAAACTAGACCCGAGCCCGGCCCGCCCGACCCGCCCAAATGGGCTAAAAGCCCGGAACCGTCCAACTGGTCCCGGTTCGGTCCGGGCCCGCACAGTAGCAGACCGGTTTGGTTCTGGGCCGGTTCGGCCCGGCCCAGTCCATCCCTAGTAATTATGAGTTTGTTATTATTATGAGTTTGTGGCATGCTGAAGTGCTGAACTGAAAGTGGGAAAAACTAATATTTTGAGGTTCAAAATTTAGGATGTGTTCTGTCACTTCTGTGTCACCGAGTCACTCTTGGTCTTTGTTTTACTGTTTTAAAGTCAATATGCCATAAGTTTTGCAATGAACTGAATAGAATCATATTTGTACTGAACTACCGATGATGCTAATTTTAGAATCAGGAGAAGGACAAAAAATGACATGAAGGTTTACTCAAGTTCGGATTGGACATTTAAATTTTCAGTAGATCAAATAAACACAAATTTAAACCTTTTAAATCCATTTCAGCCACTCTTTAACATCTCCGTTAGATGACCATTCATTGTTGTTAAACAACACAGCCTCAAGAATCATAGGTCTACCGTTGAGATCAATTTCTGATGATGGTCTGCGACAATTTTCTTCTGGTGATGAGCGGCAGAGAGATGTTAGTGTTATTGACGGATGCTGGTGTTCGTTTGCTGCGTCAGATGTTGAGGTTACGCTGCTTAGTTGTGAAGAGTAGTGTGCCGCTGTCCCCGTTTCTTTGTCGGATTGATGGTGCCGTTTGTTGGAGAGAAAGAAATCGACGGTTGAAATTCAGAGGAGTCTTTGTCTTCGTTGCCGGTTGCTTTGCTTGTTCACCAGAGGAGTCAAATGTTGTTGCTCATTCACCGTTTCAGTATCGAAGGCTGAGGCGTTGCTGATTCCATTGGATGCTGAAATCGATATTGATTTCTCTGGCTAGATTTTCTTTTTTTGAGCAACGGACATGGATTTCAAGGAAGGTAGGCATTGAATCTCTGTTGCCCATGTGTCCGTCGAAGAAGAAGAAGGAACTCCATCTATCATTTTTGCTGATTTGATTTCAGATAGCAGAAGGAGGCGTAGAGTCGGTGTTTCTATTCACCGCAGAGAATGAGCGCCGCTTGCTGCACTTGGGAGAAGAAGAGCCCAATCGACGTGTTTTGAATTCTGATGGGAGGAGGATTGCGAGCAAGTGGTGATGAGGCGAAGTCCATAGCTAATCTCTCCAGGCCGTGCTTTTTAGCGGCATCAAATGGAACAAAATAACGGAGCAGTTAAGGGTGGCTAAAATGGAATCAAAAGGTTTAAATTTGTGTTTATTTAGTCTACTTAAAACTTTAGTGTCAAATCTAAACTTCCTTAAAAACCTTTGATGGATCGTCTACCCGGGTATGTATCTGAAGGGTTACTGCGGGGAGTAACTAGAGAGAAGTCAGAACAAGTAAGAGAGAGAAAGTGTATTGAATATATGAGTTCAAAGCGTATTCAGAATGGTTTACAAAGGGGAAATGGGATGCTATTTATAGTAGCAATACATGCGAGATGGGGACACGTGTCAAGCATCCGGCGGCTGAGGGGTCACATCAACCGGGTGGCACCGACATTCGCATGTGGCCGCATTTAATGCAGCGGTTGGAGGCGACGTTGTACTTGGTACGGCGATCCAGGCGCATGTGGAGAGGATATTCTGTCGAGGAAGGTGCCCTCTGCTGTAGATGATTAGCCGGGGGCTCTCCAAATACCGAGGGCTCTAGGTGCCGAGGGCTACTGATTTTCGCCGTTTTCTCCCAGTGTCTTCGTATGCCTGAAAAAGTCGTTCTGTGAGTATCTGGAGTCTTGTGGCTGCTTGGTACTCGGGGCGCTGTGATTTGGGCCTGTTGTGCTTCCTGGGCCTATTGAGCTTTGATTAGAGTAGTAGGAGTCTATGGGCTGGGGGTCCCTGAGCCATATACTTCATCAACCTTAGTGTCAGTTTTGATCCTTTTCCCTTTTAAAATCTGTTTGTAAGAAGTTAATAATAGCTCTTTAGTTTTTAGATTTTGTTAGTTTGCAAAATAGTCGAAAACCAACTTTGAATTAATCTTGTGCATGATATTGGTGAAATCATGATAGTGTCTTACAATTACGGAGTATAATCTCTATGGATTCATAAAAATAGTTCAACTTGCAATTCTCTTCGTGCAAATAGATAGGTTAAATTTAATGAGAGTTATGAGACTAACGATTGAGTTATTCCATCCAAGCTTTACAGTTTCTTAAAGAGAAGTTCGGAACAATGAATCAATGATCTCAATTGTTAACCGCTGCACAAGAATATCACCTGTCTCAAATCTCAATTAGTTCTTTTTTATACTACGTACTCCGTATGATATATAGGACGTGAAAACCACATGAGCATATATTACCAATATCATAGATTCTATACTTATTTCCTGCATGAATTTAATGTCATGTCAAATACTTGAAATCAAATTTCCCAAAAGTCGTAAACATTTTGAGGAGTTTGTCTATTGTTATGAATTTCTCCTTTTTGAATCAAAAAGTCTATCAACGATTATAGAAGGTGGGTATTAGAAGGTGTACAAAGGGACTTTGTTTTTCTGAATTACCTGCGCAGTCCTTCACTCCAGTGCGAGTTGGTAGATGGTGGGGGTCAAACCTTGATTCTTGTGTAACGTGAGATTTAAAACGGTAGGCCAGGTCTCTCTACACAAAAGGTCAATTTAGCTTCTGTAGCAATGCAGACCGAGGGTTCTCTCTGTCATCCCTCATTGCCAGCAGACACATTCAGTCAACTGTCCAACGCCAACGAAGAGATCGTACATGCCGGACCTATCAATAAATAGGATTGGTTGATGATGATATGGGTGAGACATTTGATCGTGAATGTAGAGGTGACATTAGTAGTAGGTGATACTAGTAGTGATAATGACAATATCTCCTATGGTAGGTGACAATGTGACACTAGTAATGATAATGATATTGCTAGTGAGTACCTTCATTAATTGATAATCATGTAATAACTTTCTAATTTTCTACTTTTATTAAAAAACTATATTGTAGAAAAACATCTAAATTAAACAAAATATAACTTCATTTAATCAAATACCTTTACACTTTTCTTCATGGAATAATTGTAACTTCTATTTTAAAACAAGAAGCAAATGTTGATTGCCGGTGACTCCATGTTACAAGATGGTGAAAGGAATATGAGGACATCAACAAGCAAACAACCATTAAAGTTAATGTGGATGCTACTCTGGATTATAGAAGGGGAAAGAGAGCTTGGGGTTGGGGTGGCTCGTGATCATTCAGGCAAATTTATTGGGGAAAGGTAGATGTACCCCACAACAAGCTGGATTGCAACCATGAAGAAGCTTTGGGTCTTAGGATGTTTTTACTCAGATTGTTTTCGGTATCAGACTAAATCAGATTAGACTAGACCAGATCAAACTAGACCAGATCAAGCTAGATCAAGCTAGATCAAACTAGACTTGGATAATTATTAAATACACAAAATTAGACATTACCAGACAAAACCAAACCAGAAAATTTCAGTCCAATTAAAAACATTCTTAGAGCGATTCTCCACTGGTTAAGTCAACAAAGTTGGAGCAAGGTGCGACTTGAAAGGTCGTTGTGTTGAGGATCCTACAAGAGGACGACAATTCGTAATTAATTATGGTTATTGATGATGTTGGGCATATTTTCTTTAATCAAGCAGATATCGAAGTCGTGTTCTGCCGGAGGTCAGCCAACATGGTAGCTCACAATCTGATTAGGCATTGCTCTTGGAATTTGGAAAGCCGGGCCGGAGTCCAGTTTTTGTTTCTAGTCACGATTTATTTTTTTGCCTTCTAGCAAACAATGTAAATTAAGAGACCGTTTGGTAACATTATTTTTCGGCTTATCAGACTTATCAGTCAACTTTTTCATCAAACACGTAATATTTACTTTCGCACGCTGAATTGTGTAATAAGCAGAAAAAGTAAGGTTGGGGTTACTTTTCTGGCTGTATTGGCTGAAGTTACTGTAGATGACCATTTTAACTATTTTTACATATAATTTTTTCTTTATTTTATTAATAAAATATATTTTAAAAGTATTTTTTCTTTAGAATCAGCAAATGCAGTCAATGTAGCCAGAATTTCATAAATTTCAGCAGAAGCAGTCAAATCAGCCGATTTCCGTGCTACCAAACAGGCTCTAATATAGTTTGAAGCTTTACAAAAATTTGAACAATAATTTTTCCAAAATTTGACTTTGCACCTCACCTTTTGAATTGTATTGGACTTTGCACTCAATTTTCAAAAAATTTTGACTTTTCATCCTATTCCACTTAAAAATCTTTTGACTTTGCATGCCAATCAAAAAAATTTATTCACGAAATATTATGTGTTGGGGTGCAAAATAAAAGTTTTTTTAAAATGGGGTGCAAATCCAATACAAACCAAAAAGTGGGGGCAAAGTGAAGCTCTCCCTTTTTTCAAATAGGAATAGTTTCTATGACAAATTCTTCTGACGTGTTCGAACATCATTGGATTTACTGCGTCGAAAAATAATGAACAAGTGAATCCAGTGTCAACTTCCTAACCCAAACAAACACTTCTGCAGCTGCCATGGCAGTTAGGAGACGAGCTTCAAAAGAACAGTCCAGTGACGCTGCTGTCCTGGACTCCGGCGATCCCAAAAGAAGCCCTAAGTTTGACGATGAATCGAATATTACTCCTTCAAAAGCTCCATTAATGCTCAAATGCACCGCAATTTTTTCGATCCCGTACTTTTACTTGATCTTCTACCACTATCGAATAGAACCAGAGCTCCGGAGATCCATCGTAATTAATGCTATAATTAGTTTGGTCGGATACTTCTTAACCCTGGCTATCATCCCAGTAGCCTCGAAATATGTCATCAGAAGGAACTTATTCGGATATGATATCAACAAGAGGGGCACCCCTCGAGGAACCATTAAAGTGTAAAGTCATTATTATCTTTTCTACATTTTATTGGAAACATTATCACCATTTTGAATGGACTTTATTTCTAGATAGGTGAATCATTAGAGGGCTAGAGGCTAGTTGTATATTGTTCCTTTTATGCAACATGCTCTAATCAAAGTTTGTCTTGCAATTTGATACGGAATAGCATTCTGAATAATGATAATAAGATTTTGTTGTTCTGTTTTGCAGGCCAGAGTCGCTGGGGATTGTTGTTGGGATTGTTTTCTTGGTCGTGGCTATTTTGTTTCAGTATTTTAACTTTACAGCCGATTCAATTGTATGTAAATTCTTCTTCTTCTTCTTCTTCTTTCATTTTCCCTTTGTTTAGCCAAAAAATTTAAAGTAGAAGAAATTGAATGATATTCCAAAATGCTTGAATGATTTTCTAAATTGCTATGGCAACAGGCAAATCTTCTGAAAATAACAACCAAAGATTTCATTTCGTTTGTGTCGTTAGTGGTGTTGGTGAAGTAGACATTGATACAAAATTAGATGTTAGTTGCTCATTACCAACAGAGACTACATATAGTAACATGCCACAAATAACCTGTAATTTTTTAAAGTATTACGGAGTAGTAAATAAGAAGTGATACTTCATTGTTTCTTTTCTGTATGTGATAAGCTTGTAATCAAGAACCTTGAACAGTAGCCTTACTGGCCACAAGTTTGTGCATTTTACATTGGAAGTTTGATTCCCACCTGATCTCTACTAGTAGATAAATGTAAAAGAACAATGTGCAATTGAAGAGTTTCCTGATTACCTCAACTAATGACAATCTTGTACTCTGGTTAACAATCAGCTTACTCAAATAATACTCCTATACTGTTGTATACCCCTTGGACTTTTTAAACATCATATATATCTATAATGAATGAAGTGTTTGACACATGTATTTATTGCTATAAGTCATTTTCACATTGGTGTAAAGTGAATGGTAAAACTCTAAGAAGCACAAAAACTTCGCCATTTCGGAACACAGAAATGTGTCGGAATCTTCAAATTCCTGTTTCCGGGCTGTTTCTGTAGTTATGAAGATTTGGGAAACCCGTTTCCCTAATTAATTAGCTTTCAGAAACTTTGTGTTTTAGACTTTTATGGGATTATTTTTTTAATGAAAACTAGTGTATGTGTATGTATTTTTAGTGGGTTTTTATGGGATTTCATAACAACAATATCGTCTTTGTGATATTCCATAGCACAATGTTTTTGTACTAGAACAACAACACCAACAAAATTATCCCTGTGCCGTAAGAGGGGTCGGATGTATGCGGCCTTACCCCTGTACTAAAGCACATAGAGACTATGTCCAGATGATCCATGATGAAAATCGCGTCGAAAGTTGCATGGATTGACTGATGCTTCATAACAAAGAAGCGCATACACTAATTTGTATATTTGATCATGTCGGCTATTTTTTCATCATCAATTATTGAATAAATTTCACTTTTGGTCCTACGAGTTTTAGGTCAATTCCACATTTAGTCCACATCTTCCATTTTGTCCACTTTTGATACATGACTATTGGGTTTCCCCCCATATATGGTCCTTCCAGATTGTTTCCGATGGTAAAAATCGCCAGAAAAGGACCACAAATGGTTAAAAGACATTAGTCAAGTACCAAAAGTGGACAAAGGGAAATCCGTGGACTAAAGGTGAAATTGACACAAAGCTCGTAGGACCAAAAGCGGAATTAATTCTTAATTATTTAACAAAGTTATAAGGAAAAGTAAATATACATATATATGAAAGAAATACATGTAGATATTTTTTAAAAGAAAATTTATAAACATATCATTATATTTTGTATGTTTACAAAGCAAAACGGCTTACTAAACTGTTTGCGCTTCTTTGTTATGAAGCACCGTTTAGTCCATGCAATTTTCAACGTGATTTTCACTATGGGTCATCCGGAAATAGTCTCTCTATGCTTTAGTGCAGGGGTACGACACTAGGGTAATGATGATGATTGATGAATATTGTTTCCCACGTTTATCATTTTGAGTTCCCATGCTACTTAGATAAAACTTTTTTTTTGCTTTGCAGTGGCTTGTTGAGTACAATGCTGCATTAGCTTCAATCTGCTTCATGATGTTGCTTGGATTTGTTGATGATGTTCTTGATGTACCATGGAGAGTGTATGTTTTTTTCACACACTTAATAATATTGGAAGCTTGCATGTTTGACTTACTAATTTGTATAAAAAGACTTTCATTTGATTTGCTGTTGTGTCAAAGGCAGGAAATTACTTTTACCGTCTATCGCGGCTCTTCCGTTGTTGATGGCATATGCTGGGCATACAACTATTATTATACCAAAGCCTTTAGTTTCATATGTCGGAATAGAAGTTCTGGATTTAGGTAAATTTATGGTTCACATAACACATCTATTATGGTTGTGTGGACTTATTTGTCACTTCAACAAGTACTCTTTAGTGTTACATGAACTGCTTGGTTGATACATTTTTAATGCCTCTACCAACTTTTCTGTGGACAGGATGGATTTATAAACTTTATATGTGGCTCTTGGCTATATTTTGCACAAATTCAATCAATATACATGCCGGTATCAATGGGCTTGAAGTGGGGCAGACAGTTGTTATTGCAGCAGCTGTAAGCTAGAAGATTTGAACTTCTGAATAAATAAATAAAACAACATCATCATCCAAACCTTAATCCCAAAAGAGTTTGGGGTCGGTTAACATGAATCAACATATGTCATAGGAAATAAAAATTATAAAAAGAGATCTATATATAAATACAAAAATAAATAAATAGATCTTATGGAATCTAACAGACAGTGTTACTTGTAGATTATAATGCATAATATCATGCAAATTGGAGCATCCACTGACCCTGAGTACAAACAAGCCCATGCATTTTCTCTTTACCTTGTTCAGCCATTGATTGCCACTTCCTTGGCTTTACTTTCATACAATTGGTATAGTAATACCTGGCTTTGAGACTATTTCTTTTTTTCAATAGAGTTCTGCATGCTATTCACCATCCATGTGTTTTATCATATACCATCTATTATAGGTATCCTTCCTCGGTCTTTGTCGGTGACACCTTCACCTACTTTGCTGGAATGACTATGGCAGTAGTTGGCATTTTGGGCCACTTTAGGTATGCCAACTATATTTCTGTTGTGACAGTATAATTGAGAGCAAAGTGAACATAAGTTGTAACTCTCCCTGGCATCTTTTACCATTTGGGAATGATTACAGGAGTCTTAAACTCTGAAAGTTTCGCTTGTTTACGGAACATCTTAATAGTTCATAGGTTATAGCTGATACTTTTATCTTGCCCATGATATGTCCTTCAAATAACTCGGAAGTAGAGCCAACATTTTGCCTTCATTGTTTTGATAGAAGTTTTATGTAGTTGAAAGCTTCACAATTTTGATGGAATTTAGAATGCTATATATAGTCGTTAAATAGTCTAACTGTAAAAAGAATAATATGGAGACATTAGATTTGGAACTACTTTAACATGAGAAAAGTCACTGCCTGACTTGACTAGTTTCCATGTCATGTCTTTTTAGCGAAACACTTCTGATATTCTTCACCCCACAAGTTTTGAACTTCCTGCTGTCACTGCCTCAGGTACCCGCCTGACCTCCACTGAACCAAGATTCCTCTTAAAATAATGGTTTATATTTATGAATACCCTAACATCCTGCTTCTTGCTTCCTTGTCCTCTGACAGCTAGCTGGTATTATCCCTTGTCCACGGCATCGACTGCCTAAGTAAGTAATTTTACTTGCTTGCTTGACTCGTGATATATTCACAACACAATGAACTTATATTGGGAGTTTGGACCGACCCTTCAGGTTTGATCCTCAGACTGAACTACTGACTGGTACAAATGACGGAACATTAGTGAACTTCTTCTTAAGACGATTTGGCAGAATGTCTGAACAGTCTCTCTGCACTGTATTGCTACTTTTCCAGGTAATTTAATAGGGTTCTACAATTGCCTTGCAAAGCCACAGGAAGTGAATATTTAATTACACTGAATATATCAAATTTAGATATTTCTTCAAATTAATTGTATTTGTATTTGTCTGTTGTCAAAAGCCTGTGAGATGTGAATATATGTAAAATTTTAAATATTTTCAAATCAAATTAAATTTCCATCATAATTTTCCAACCGAATGGTCCTAACCCCAAACATAAATAACTTATTCCCTTTGGTATCCCCCTCCTGACACTACTAAATTTGACGTCCCAAACATGGCCTGAATGAAATGAAGAAAGAAATGTCTGCAATTTTCATGTTTGAGTAGTTGTTAGCAATGACTTCTTTAAACGATGTGATTTATTAGTGTTTTTTAACACATTAATTTGAATTTGATGATCTGCAAACATTAATCCACTGAATTCCTGCCAAATACGCTATGTTATAATGCACAAGTTCTATTTGTTGCTTGCCTACAGGGCATCTGCTGCTGCTTCTGTTTCCTGCTAAGGTGGCTCCTTACTGGTTGGTATAAATATTGATCGGTTTCCATAACACAAAGAATATATATTTCCTCTGGTGAGCACATAAATGGTGAGCACATAAATGAATGAGATGAGATCCCCATTGTAGTCTTGTTGAAACTTTTTATTATCATGATTTGACCAACTCAACCCCAGAATTGCACCAAGAAAACTTTTCTGTATATTTATGGGAGTGGGGGTGGGGGCTTTGAGAAGAACTAAATGTACTAATATCGGGTGGATCGAATTCCTTAACATTTTGTTGTGCTAACATAAGATAGACATGAGCATATGACTGTATGGAGTTCCTGAGCTTTATTAAATTCTTTTTTGTGCTCAATAAAGGTCAGTCTCGATCACTTCAATACATTCAGTGTGATGTGAATTGAAAGACAATAAGCAATCTGTAATATTAGTAGAAAACTGCGGTGTAAATATTTGTTATGTACACAGAAAATACAATCTACTCAAGCATCACGTCTGAATGTGTGATGGGAAGCTTGCAATGCTAGAGAAGAAATGAAAGGCTTCTTTCTAAATAAGTGAATAGACTAAATGGTTCCAAAAAAATCTTGCAACCATTTTTGTGGAAAGAATAATTGTTTCACGACCTCATTTGATCAACTTCTTGACTAATATCCATAGAAATTGCTAGTCAAAGTCATATGCCTTGCAGCCTTGGTGCATACATCTACTTATCTACTCCCTCCGGTTCCTATTAAAGTTCTCACTTTCCTTTTTGGGATGTCCCTTATTTAAATTCACACTTCCATTGTAGGAAACAAAACAGTGCCAAACAGTGTCCAAACAGTGCCAAACAGTGTCAAACACTTCCAAATTTATTTTCTTAATCTGTGTGAAGTTAAACTGAGAACTTTAATAGGAACCGGAGGGAGTAGTTTTGATCTCTCTAGTTATTCTACTTCTATCCCAATACTAGAATGTAAGGCATGAGATATCATAACCAAAAAACATGTCTTCTGGTTCTTAGCCTTCTCTATTCTATCAATTTTGTTGTTGCAGACAATGGCTAAGGGGCACTTCTTAACACAAATGATTCATCGTGTACTTTGTTTATGGCATTAGTTTTTTTGCGCCCCACCTTTTCACAAAATTAGAACCCTACTAAAACTCAACTTGTATGTGTATGTGTATGTGTATGTGTATGTGTATGTGTATGTGCATGAATACATAATATTAGGTCCAAAAACTTTCTTTTTTAACAAGCCAAGGGGCATCTTTGAACTTATAAAGTAAAAATGACTTTGGAGCTACTCAAATTTTATCAAATTTGGTATGAAACAATCTTAGCAGGATTTCCTGAAAAAGAAAACGTCACAATCTTAACAGGATGAAGTGAGTAGTAAATACACATCGTGTGGTGCAACTTTATCCGTTTTTCTGAATGTTCATCCATGCGCACAAAAAACTATATGTTCAACCCTTGTTGAGTGGTAAAATAATGTCTTCCATGATTTCCATCCCACAATGTGACTAAATTTGACTTGAGTATAAAGTAAATTTTTCTTGATTAGAATTTACCAAATGAAAATGCATGGTAAAGTTTTTTAGGATGATTGAAGAATGTTGGTGAAGTTTTATGGGATTGAAGAAAGTATATAAAATTACTCCGTATTATCTTTTCCGTATGCAGGTAAATACAAAAATGCATTTCCGTCAGTCAATCCGTGACCACTATTGGGATAGCATGTCAAACGTTTGAAACAAAAACACCTCTCTCTAGAGCATTGAAGCCACATATTCTGAAAATTTTATATATCCAATTCATATTCTAGAAAACATAGACACATTTACTTCCCCTTTTGTTGATCTTCATTTAGATTTTAGTTTCAATTAATATCGAAAACTTAAAATTTTAAAATATAACAACACATCAATGGGAATTTTTATTGGAATACCTATAAAAGCATGCCTTATTTGGAGCTCGTTTGGTAATAGCCAAATCGGTTGCATTAGCTGTTTTTGCTGAAATTTATGAAGTTCTAACTGACGTGAATGGATTGGTTGATTCTGCATTGTAATATTGATCAATAAGTATAGCGTTAGTTGGTGTAACAATGAGTAAGGTGTGTAGGGGTGTAATTGTCCTCTTAATCCTTTTTAGTGTTGTTTTCTGAAATGTAAAAAGACTCTTTTTATGTACTTCCTCCATCCCTTAAAATTCTTCTCACTCACCTTTTTGGAATGTTCCAAAAAATTCTCCTCCTATCCCCTTTGGAAAAGTTTTGTGTTACTACCATCATTTATTTACTTTTTTCTTATTCAATCACAACCATACATTTCCACTTTGTTCTCACTTTCTTAAACTCCGATCCAAGTCAAGCCGGAAAGAATTTTGGGAACGGAGGAAAGATTAATTAATTTAAATTAATATTCTTGTCTAACCCCAATAAAGAATTAGGCAGAATCATTATTCATGGATGCATCCCTGCCAACAACCTCTAGTACTTCTGACATCATATACCTTGTGCGTATTTTCTTAAACTACATATGTAAAACCCCTACAAAGATAGTAATTAGAAATTGAGGGAAAAGAATTTTAATAAAATTGTAATAATAATAGTATCAATAAGAATGATGTAGTTGAATTATTTAAATCTAAATTAAAAATGATGTAATGATTTGAACCAATCAAGTGAGTGGTAAGTACGGTACCCCATTTTTTAAATGAGTACCGGAGTTGTCAGAAGACGGTGGAGTTTTACCGTTTCATTAAAACGCATTTTTTTTTAATCATTAGTCAATAGCTTTTGATTTTCATTGCCAGCCACTTTTGTGGTGCTATAGAGTCAAGACACGTACATCTCGTTGGGGCCATATATGTATTTATAGTCCGAGTTTTCTACGAACAATGCATTGGACACAATCATTATTGGCATAAAAGTTCTCTATATTTTCAGCAACATTGAACATGACAACAACGCTACCAAACAGAAACAGGACAATTAAGGAAAATTAGCTCTCAAAACTCAAAAGACTATCCGATAAGATTCCTTCACTATTTCGCGCTCGTGGTTCAATAAGACATACACATGCACTTTTCAAGTCCATGTGGAGGGTCAAAAATACCCTTTTTTGTGGAGGGTCAAAAAAACTGTTAACAAACTACCCTTTAATTATGGTTTCTAAACAAACGATCAAATCACAATCAGATTTGACTCTGATACCATGTTAAAATCCGAAATTTCATCCAAAAGAACAACCTGATAGGAGAAGTAATTCAAAATTTTATATATTGTTTTATTGTTTTTATAGTTTTCCGGTGTGAGACAAATACTTTAACACAAAGTGATCTTAGTACCGTAAATAAGGGCATTTTTTAGAAAAAGCTAAAGATGTTTTTTTTTTGTAGAAACATAGGAGCATTAGCTCCTACCTATTATTAATGATCAAACGAGGCTAGGAAATCCCAAATACTTATTAGGTTATATTACTTTAAAGTTTGAAGTATTTGAATTATTTATTCTTACGATGAGTGAGCCATTATTGACTTTCAATGCCTTAAAATTTATTTTGTTTTGAAAAAATGTAACCAATGAGAGATGCGGTATAATTTAAAAGTCAAAATTTAATTGTAGTTATGTGCGACACTAGGAATTGTAGTTGGAGAGGGGAAACTAAAGTTTGAATTGTGAACTATTGTGTGAATCGAGAGCTATTATCTAGAATTGAATATTTTGATGTGTTGAATCTGAACTGCTACTTGAGTGTTCTAGATCAATTTGAAGAAAGAAAGTTGAAAGAGTTTCTGGAAAACATAAAATTCTATTAAATGGCATATAATTAAGTAAAAGAAATAATTTAGTAATATTTTATTAAATATTAAGATGCTATAGTACATACACATAGTTGATTTAAAAATCAAGCTAGGCACACATCGTAGTTTTAAAGTGTTAAATAGTATGAATGAATGCCATCAAATTACGTAGGAGAATACAAGATTGAATTGAATTACATCATGCCACAAATAAGAGCACTCCTCGTAACATAAAAGCATCAAGCAAATTTATATCCAACAACACCATCAAGAGTTTTGTGGTGCCATTAATTCTAGGGTAAGAAAACTCACACATTAAGAAGGAATTTGGAGTGAAGTAGAGATCATGCGAAGGAAAAACCAAGCCAAGTAGAAATAGTAAGAGAAACCATCTAACCCTGGGGTAGGTGGAATCCGAAAAACGAGAGACTTAAAGTTTTAAGTAAAAGTGAGTTAGAAATTGAGTAGAGTAACATCAAGTATGCGGTAAGAATTATCGATCAGATCCCTTTCCACAAGCTAGAAGCTGATATTTATACTATAAAGTGAAATATTTGGCCAACAAGTTAAAAGATGTTATTCTATTGTGGAGGTGACACATGTATTACTTGGCTAACAAGCATAAATGTACTAGTATAATTATATGGTGACATGTGTAAAGTTGATTGGAGAGATGAAAGGGCAACTAGCTAATTGATACTTTGCGTAACAGAATTGTCCTTTGTGTATCAGAACGTATGTGCACGCCACACATGTCCAGTCCTGAATATTCTGTAACAATCGCCTGAATGACGCAAACCATGGACAGCTGTCGCGAGGGTGACATGGCCGCAATTAAAGTGTCTAAGCCTACAACTTCTTTATGAGGCCCCGAGCTCAGCAGGTGAGATTAAGCTCGGAAGTGGCGTGTTCATTTGGAGGGGAGCAACCTCAGTTCGCTGCTTACCAGGTGGAGGCAATTTCTCCGTTCTGTTGACTTCTTAGAGCGCCAGTTGACCTCAAGCTCGGTTATGAGCTCGATAAGACGTTGACCTCGGCGGGCGTTGACCTCGGCCTCAGATGCAGTTTTGGCCTTATCTCGATAATCTGGGAGTCGAATGTCGGACCCGACCTCGACCAAGGTCAAGTTCGTTCGGCCTTGGCAGTAAAGTGATTTATGAATTCCTTGAGATTCTTTATTCATGAATGTTGATATACTTGTGGTATATGGAAATATACTCCATCACCATCAAAGAAGATATCTATGGTGAAGAGATCATTTACCCAACGAGAATCTGAGTTATGGGTTGTGATTGTAATTGGGAAGGGATAATTTAGATATTGCAAGTTGTTGTGTGGACGGGTGAATGAAAACATTATGTATCCATTTAGACGGTTATTTCAATCTAAGTTTTGTTCAACCATTTATCCAAACAATGTCATACCAAATGTCACACCAAACATAGCCTTAGGACAAGCATTTAAACATGTACTTCAACACAAATTGAACTACATAATAAAACGGGCAGTTGTTAATTGTTATATCGTGGGAGTGATCCATGGTGATTGGTGAACATGATACTGGCAGTCCCTATGTTGCTCGAATATAGATATGTATGGTGATACGCCGATACACGAATATGAATACGACAATACGACAACTTCGAAAATTATATGAATGAGGTACAAAGGGTTTTTTATAAATAAAAAGAATATAGGGTTTAATTTGCAAATATATATAAATAATCTAGAGGTTCAAAAATCAAATAACAATAGTGTCAAAAATTAACAACTAGAAGAAATTAAATTGGTTAGAAACTACATCTCGGATTCACGGAAAGAAAATATATGAAACAAGCAAATTATAATAAAAAATAAGGAAAAACATATCAAACGCAATTGATTTACAAGTGGAGTGAATTGAAACTTAAAATTATATGAGAGAAGAAGAAGATAGGTTACTAGTTAATTATCTACCCGGTAAGAGATACAATTGAAGAAAGAATAAGGATTGAGGAGTTGTGATCACTAAGAGATGTGGTTGAAGAATGAGGAATGAGAAGCTGTGGTAGGCTGGTTGTAGGTCACTACTCGACTACTCTATTCTCGTATGTTACATCATCCTTAGATATGTGTATCCGTATTAAGTCCACTCATTTTATCAAGTTACATAAACGAACTCAATTCGTACAAAATGTGTATCGACGAGTATTGATATCAGATGATATGTATGAAATATGCGGATACAACAATGTAGTGAAGTATCAGTGCATCATAGACTGCCACGGCTAAGACGATGTCACTTAAATTTAGGTTTTAATTATAAAACGTGTGAATAGTGAATATATTTTTGTTTCAATATTTTTCTTAATGTAAATATCGTGCATTGAAATGTAATTCGTGTTGCCCCAAATGTAATCTCATGTAGCGGCAAATATAATTCGTGCACTGAAATTTAACTCGTGTTACTCCCTCCGGTGGTTATTCTCACTTTTCACATGTCTAAATATAATTTGCATTGATTGTCCTTAGAGATCCTCCGGTGGTTATTCTCACCTTTCACATATCAAAATATAAATTACATTGATTGTCCTTAGAGACCGTGATAGTAAGAATCTCAGAAAAAGAAAAGTATCAGCTTGAGTATTAAAAATTACAAGGTAACGATATGCTAAAAACCAAACCGTGGATCCCTTTCCACAGGGTGTAAGATAATTATATATAGTGGAAATATGACCCCATTTTGTTAATTAATAAAATTAAAACCAACTCATCTTCTTCTCCGACCATATGTTCTCCTTAGATTTTTCATTGATATCACCATTTGTTCCCCTTCTTCGGCTAGCCGTCAGGCCATGTATTTCCCTTGTTCGCCCATCCATTCCGCCATCTATTGCACTTCTTTGTCTATATGTCCGATCACCTATTTTCTTGACTCTACCTTTTTTACTTCTTTTCTTTTTCATTAATTCAAAACTGAATTTACTTGGTTGAATTTACATATGCATTAACGTAATTAACATTCCGACTTGTCTCAAGTTATATATGGGACCGATGGGTATGGGGGTGGTGACGGGACAGGTGGACTGTGGTGGACAATGACAAGTCGATGGGGCTGGTGGGTAGGGACGGGTCTTATAGGCATGGGTGGGCCAGGGGAGGGCGATGGTTAGGGTCGGAGCGGCGGTGATGACCGGAGTATGCACGTCGGTGGTGACAGGTGGCAGAGGTGGGGAGATAGTGGTGTTGCTTTCAACCTAAAAGTGACTGTTAGCCACACGTGGCTGGGGGAGAGATGTGGCGTCGTTGGCATCGGTGGAGCGTCGGTTTCACTGAGCGAAAACGGTCATAGTGACATGTTCCACCGCGACGATGACATTAGTAAATGATATAGAAATCTGGTAGTGACATTTGGTGGAGATATGAAAATCTTACAGTCGCATCACGTTTTTCCAAATATATGACTTTACTTAAAAGTGGTCATATTTTTTGAAATCATCTTTAGTTTAGTACTACCATGTCCCACTAACAATTTAAAGAAAAAAGATAAATTCTTTTACTTGAGCCCCACTACCTAGTTTCCCATACGTATCTCCCATCTAACTTGTACGCACGCCGCACATCTTCCGTACTTTAGGAGGGTCGCCAATCGTTTGGTGGCTTTCCCTAACCCGGGTTTAACCTAGCAGTATTTTCATAAATAGTTTTAATTCAACCCTATTTTCGTAAATACTTTTTTAATTAGCATTTTTTTGGAAAAAAACTCAACTTTATCAAATTTGGTATGTGACAATCTTAGTAGGACGGACAAAAAAGAAAAGATGAAACAATCTTAACGGTACAAAGTGAGAAATATTTCAGGGCAAAACTCGTATAAATTTTCAATAGTTGATTTTACTTTATTTTTTATTTAAACAGAGAACTAAACAGACTAATGCTCAAGGTTGTGTATCTATAAATATGAAAAGTGATGAAGTACTCGCTCCATATAAAAATAAGAATTTCATTAGGTTTTTCACGTAATTTAAGATAGTTTATAGATTTATTGTACGCTTTTTGAAAAAAGTAAAAGTTTTTTGGCATTGTAACAGTACAATTTACTTTATTAAAGTGACTATTGAGGCGTGGTTACTTCCAAAATTGAAAATGAAACACTTATTTTAATACTATTGAAAGAGAAAGTGAGTCATTTATTTCATAGTTTAAGGTAAACGTGATACCTAGAGATGTCAATTTCGACCGATCCGTTGGATACCCGCACAAAACCGATTTGGTCAAACTGGGGAAAATCGATTTGACCGGAGAACGTGTACGGGGCGGGGAATACCCGATTTTTTAAATGGATAATGGTGCGGTTATGTTTCTATACTATTCCGCCCCGTTATCTGCCCTGAAACCGCCCCGTTCACTAATGGTGCGGGTATCCGCACTGTTACCCGATCCATATATCTCATATAAGTATATAAAGAATAATATACCAGAGGACCACTTCAAAAACCCTGACATCTCTAACTCAGTGTATTACGAATTTATGGCTCAAGGCTCTGCTTCTTAACAGTGAGAACAACTTTATTCAATTCTTCTGGATGGAACGATGCTAGGTTTGCAGTTCGGCTCTACAGTCGGTGGCTTCTAATCTTTCTCATTATCAAGGATTCGACTCAGTTCCTTCTTTCTTCTTTTTACTACTTTTTTATTGTCACGCCCCGGACCTAGCCGGACACGTCAACAACCCGCCGTACAGTACGAATAGTCAACCGCAGTCCAACTCATTCATACTATACAAGGCGTCATGAACATCATTCACACATAGTACATCCATAAACAAACATAATGTAAATCATTCATTTAAAACAGCGGAAACAACATTACAAGTGTTGTTCTAATCTTTCTCATTATCAAGGATTCGACTCAGATCCTTCTTTCTTCTTTTTACTACTTTTTTATTATGTTACAAGATATATTGGGTGCTTGTCATACTAATGAATTTAGGACTAAAATTGCTTGATTACTTGAACATTTACTTTTGTATGTTTTATGGTGCTTTTAATATAAAATTAATTTCACTTTTGGTCCTACGAGTTTTGGGCTAATTTCACATTTAGTCCACGTCTTTCACTTTGTCCACTTTTGGTACTTGACTAATGTTTTCTAACCGCTTGTGATCCATTTCCGGCGATTTTAAGCATCGGAAACAATGCCAGAAGGATCATATATGGGTGAATGCCCAATAGTCATGTATCAAAGTGGACAATATAAAAAATGTGGACTAAATGTGGAATTGACCTAAAACTCGCAGGACAAAAAGTGGAATTTATTCTTTAATACTCCCTCCGTTCTCTAATACTTGGCCCTCTTTCCATTTTGGGATGTTCTCTATTAGTTGTCTCCTTTTCCACTTTTGGTAAGTTTTTTCAATAAATATACTCATTTACCCTCATATTCTTTCCTACTTTTTCATTCTCTTTCATACTTTTACCTTTACGCACAACCCACTGTACCTTTTATCCTACCCCTATTAATTCTTTTTTAAATCTTGTGCCCAAGGCTATACTCCCATCTATTAGAGAACGGAGGGAGTATATAATTTATTACGAAGGATGTTTACATTAACAAGGAGGGTTACAAATTGGTTATTTGGTATCATTTGGGCAAACGTGTACCCGTGGATAAACTAATTCCCCGTTGGAGCGGGTACGATTCAAATAAAAATTACTCAAACGGGTAATGGGGTGGTTTCAGTTTTATGTGTACCAGTCCCGTTCCGCTCCGTTGTCATCTCCAGTGATACCACAAGTGGCTTATTTGTGGGCCCTTACTTATAAGTGCTAGAAACTTGAAGGTGGTGACTGTGACTGTGACTTATAAGTCCTGAACATCAAATCAAGGAAATTTATAAGGCGGTTGGTTGGCTGAGGACTCGAATCAAACACATTAGTGAGCTGTGCCTGGCCGGCCTGTGTATATACCAAGATGGAAAGCTGCAAAGACAACGACGCCACCGCCGGTGAAGTCGCCGTCGTGGTGGTGCCTCTTCCAGCTCAAGGCCATCTCAACCAGCTCCTTCAGGTTTCTTGTCTGCTTTCCTCCTCCTCCTCCGCCCTCCAGGTCCACTACCTCGGCTTTTCCATCCACACCCAACAAGCCAGAGTCAGGGCCAATGGGCTAGACCCGGAGAAAATATCCAAAATCCATTTCCACGAGCTTCCTACCCCTGAGCTGGACTGCCCTCCCCCGGACCCGGCCGCCGCCCTGAAGTTCCCCACTCACCTGCAGCCGCTCTGGGAAGCCTCGCACCTTCTCTTGCGCCGCCCCGCCGCCGACGTTCTCCGCGAAATAGCGTCAAAATCCAGAAGAGTGGTGATCATCCATGACTCTATCATGGCATCGGTGGTTCAAGACGCGGCGTCCATCCCCAACGCCGAGACCTACTCTTTCAATTGCATCTCCGCCTTCTCCCTCCTCTCCCTGATCTACTACCGGGCGGGAAGGCCATTCCCCGCCGTCGCCGCCGTGGAAGAAGCAGGGCTGAGGGAGCTGATGCCGGACCTGGAGGATTGCACGAGTTATGATATCCGGAGGCTGGGGTCTGCGCAGAGAGAGTTCTTGAAATTCCGGTGCGGCGAGATTCATAATACGAGCAGAGTGATTGAAGGCCCGTTTCCGGATGTGTACGAGCGGGAGGAGTTTTCCCAGAACCTGAAGCAATGGTTCATCGGCCCCATTCTCCCTCCCCTGAACACGTATAAGAAGAAACAGAATGTGTGGTTGGATTGGCTGGATGAGCAGCCGCCGGACTCTGTTCTGTATGTTTCGTTCGGGACGATGACATCCGTGTCGGATCAGCAGGTGAGAATGGGTGTTGGCAGGGCCTACCCCTGGCCCGGCCTGCCCTATTCCAACTATTTTAAACATGACACCTCATTCACCCTCTAGCATGGCCACATTCTATCCGCAAATTTAAGGATTTTAAAAAATTAATAGTATCATCTTCATCAAATTTTAAGAGAAAAAAATTGCAGTTTGAATAAGATGGCATATTTTCCTGACAGGCAGCATAGCATATCGGGCCAAAAACCTTCGTATTAAAAAACCGTGTGATTGAGATTTGTGTAGAACCACAAATCAGTTCCTTTAATAGAAAAGTGAAAAAAAATTTGGGACAACAAAAAAGGAAAAAAGTAAAGTTTGCAAAGTCCAATGACACGGAGTTAGTATACTCTTTTGATTTTTTGATAGGGGTATTTTTTACTTTTTATGTGTGGTCATATTTAAGTAATTAAAACTATTATTAATTAACATTACTTCCTTCATCTCATAAAATAGTTTCAATTTGATTAGTATTGGAGTTTCAGAAAGTGAGTTTTAAAGTGAAAATATATAGTTGTGTTTGAGTAAGAAAAATAAATAAATGAAGGATAGATAATCATACAAAATTTTCCAAAAAAAGAAATGACAATTATTTTTTGTGACAACTAAAAAGAAAGTGAGAACTATTTTATGGGAGGGAAGGAGTATTTTGATTATTTATATTTTTATTATTAACAAAAAATGATTTTCTTTCTAAAATGTGGTGATGCAACTTATATTCCTTACTTTTGAATTTTGAAGTGGTGGTGCGCATTGAAAGGCGGCAAAGATAGTAGGTAGAAGCGTGTATATTTCTAATTTTATGATTTTATTAGGGAAAAATAATTAAAATACCTCAAACTTTGAAGGGGTGTGAGATGAACACCCAAAACTTGCATATGTATTTTAAATACCCAAATTTTATATAAAAAGTTATTTTAGCACCATAATCAAATATTACTTTTTCAAAAATGTAAATTGCATAATTTCAAAATGTTTTAGAATTCATGAAGACACAAATAACATTATAAACTTCCATTGCAAAATAAATAATGTTATACTCAATCTATATAATTGCAACACTTTTAATTTGCTATTTTAAATTATGCAATTAACCCCATAAACTTATATTTTTGAAAGAAATAATACATGATAATTGTGCGAAAATAACTTTTTATATAAAGTTTGGGTATTTAAAGTTCATGTGTAAGTTTGGAGTGTTTACTTCACACATCATCAATGTTCGGGGTATTTTTATTATTTTTCCCTTCTTATTATTATATTCACATAAATTTTTACATTTTATGTTTTTATTATTAATTAAAATTATTTTTTATTATTTTATTTTTTAATTATAAATGAAAATATGATTTTCTTATTAAAATATTATAAGGGTAAAATAGGAAGAGTTGATTTTAATATTTGCATTTTGGGAATATAAAAATAGGAAAAGATGATTTTACTTTATATATTTTGGGAATATAAAACTAATAGTCCTGTTTTTGTATTTTTACATTGTTTAGTCCTATTTGAAGCAATTTTCCCTTATAAACACTCAAACTTTATCGTAATGATAATTGACTTAAATATGTTTTTACTTGTGAAAATGAAGTCTTCTTGTTTTAAGTTCCTGTGAAATGAATTTTTCAGTTGTTCATCCTTATAATTTATGTTTGCTTTTATTTTTAGTGCATTATCAATTACAATAAATTGATATTGACAAGGAAGAAACTCTGGCAAATAAATTATTTATCTTTCAAAAAAACATAAAAACTCAAACTTTAATCATAATAATTCATCGTAAGAGTTTAAACGGTTATCATAATAAATTATGTAAATCCACTAATTTTCGTTCTGAATCCAACTATATACCCTCCTACTCTGCTTTAATTTGCCTGATAAGTTAATATCTTATAAATTTGTCACTTTCTTTTAGAATTTGTTTGTGCGACAAATTTGCAAATATTCCAACTTAATAAAGTTATTTGGTCAACAATAATGCTCACATTCATTTAGATGACATTTAAACCTAAGATCCACTTTATAAGGTAATAATAACTTCATCAAATCACATTGTAATTTTTTGTTAGGTTATCCTCCATATCTTAAATATAAGAACTTAAATTAAACTTTAATTAACCTTGTATCAAATTGACCTTCTATAAAAGTCTCAAGTCTTAATAGATTTTTTTTGTCAAAAAAAAAGTCTTAATAGGTTTTATTACTGAATATGTTTTCTTCTAATTCACTAGGTGAATAAAATAACAGGGTTAAAGTCAGCTTGACTCAAACAAGCAATATTCCATCGTAGTGAAACTAAAAAACAGTACCAGTTTTGAATTGAAATGTCTCGATAAAGAAGTGACCTTGGACGATATGCTAGCTAAGCATCCAACATGGACCAAATATAAAATATAATCCAATGATGGATTATATTTTGGTAGATTCTATGGTACCCATAAGATACCGTACCTTTTCCCACATGGACCAATGAAAATGTAGCAGTTGAATTATTTTAAATCTAAATTAAAAATGATAAAGTGATGTGGTCCAATCAAATGAAGGATAGGTACGGTACCCCATTTTTTAGAACGGTACCGGAGTTGTAACGTTATATTTTATAAGCCACTTATGGCAAGCTAAATTTGAAGTTTTAACATATACCGGCTACCTCAGGTTACAGAGTTGGCAAAGGGGTTGGAGCAGAGCAAAGTGAGGTTTCTTTGGGTGTTGAGGGATGCAGATAAAGGGAACATCTTTTCGGGAAAACCGAGAAGGATTGAGCTGCCAGAAGGGTTTGAGCAGAGGATGATCAAAAGGGGAGTGGTGGTAAGAGAGTGGGCACCGCAGCCCGAAATCCTGGCGCACCCGTCCACGGGAGGGTTCATGAGCCACTGCGGGTGGAACTCGTGCATAGAGAGCATCACGCACGGAGTGCCCATGGCCGCGTGGCCCATGCACTCTGACCAGCCGAGCAACGGGTTCTTGGTGACAAGAATACTGCGAACGGGGCTGATGGTTCGGGAGTGGGGAGAGCATAGAGAGCTGGTGAAGGCATCCAACATTGAGAATGTGGTGAGGAGACTTATGGCATCTGAAGAGGTTAGAACGAGGGCTCAAGCATTGGGTGAAGATGTTAGAAAATCTGTTCAACCCGGAGGCGTGTCTCACATCCAACTTCACTCTTTCATTGCCCATATCACCAGAACTTAATAACGTACTTCATTGTTAAAGTACTTTCGTGTTAAATTAAAGTAGAATGCAGATTCATGCCACATGTTTGAATAATTGAATCTTATCTCAATCGTTATCAGTAACATGGCAGATTATATTCTATAAATAGGCACACTGCACTCCTGATTATAATAATGATACGGAGTATTAAGCATATACTATCCATATACTCTGATTATTTTAAGTAATACTTTGCATATACTCCGTATTAATGTAAGATTTAATTATTTTTGAACTTTTATAACAATATTTTTTTCATATCATTTTGGTACGTATGTGTAAAACACTATATACGAGACAAGCATCGTCATAAATCTCAGGCCATTATGAGTCGTACGATCCATCGCAAATTCTGAGCCAACTCAAATCAGTGCCAAACTGGAGTGAGTTTGGATGCTAACTTGTGCACGCAAAAGTCAAGACAAAAGTCGAGCCAAATCTTGACACAAATTCATATATCCGTTCCAACACGTTTGGATCGACCCAAGGGTTTATACGGAGTGTAAAATTTACCAACAAGTGTATGTATAGCACAATAACAAATAGATGACTTAAAATAAGGAACGGAGCCACGGAGGAGCAGTGGTAGGTCGATTTTGAAGGTTTCGACTTCACGGAGGTCCAGGGGTCGATTCTTGGATTAGCCTGTTAATGTTTTCTTTTAACTTTATTACTTTTTTAAATCCTTCAACCTCAAATTTTGGAGTTTACACTATACATAATTCAATTTTTTTAGATTAATTATTAAAATTTATTTGAATGTTCAGATCAGTTTTTAAATGTATGATATTTCTGAATGTTTTTTCAAAAAAATTCGATTTAGAATTAAAAGCTATTTCAATAGTCTACTCATATTTAAAAGAATTCAGAGAATCAAGAGTAATTTGGACGTTAATTCAAATGATTTGTCATTATTAAATGAACAATTGGATCAAATAATTACTCAATGTGACCAACATGTCAATTTTCAATCTTTGGAAGCTGATCCTGGACAAATAGAGAAAATTACTGACTTTTATCCTAGTTAAAAATTGTCGATTCAACCTCAGGATCATGATTTCTCTTTTAAGGTAATTGGTGACAAAAAACGTAGATTTATTTCAAGTTGGAACTTTTTGCGTTATGATTATGTTAGTATTTTGATGATGTTAATCAGGGTCGGCCCTAGGCGGTGCAACAGGGGCGACCGCCCTAGGCCCAAGAAAATAGCAAGAAAAATTAGGCCCAAAAAAATTTCTTTATACGTAGTTTGAGTAGATTTCTTTCTTTTTTTTAATTTTTAAACTCAATTAATTAGGTTCAAGGTTTAATTTTTAAAATAAACGTAAAGAGGCGTGTCTGTCTTAATTGTCTTCACATCTTTATGCTTTATAATCCTTTTAATTACAATATTGCCAAGTTATGTTAAGTCTCCCAATTCCAAAACTCAATTGGTAAAGCTCATCCAAATTGATTTGTTGTTTCCAAATTCCAAAATTAACAAGAGTAAAGAACGCTGAAATGCAGCGAGTGCTTCAGCGGTTTGTTAAGAAGCCAATCAATCGAGGAGGCCAAATGGAGGTAGGTGACCAAACAAATTCTTCTTTCAAGGTTTCAAACAATCCAATAATGACCAATAAACTATTCTTGATGAAATGGGTGAATTAGGTTGGGATAAAGAGAGAAAGTGGACAAGATTAGAAAAGGTAGGCTCAAGTCAGACGGGATCAGTGGAAAATTCTGTTTTTGTTAAGAAATTGAATCTTGAAAATTCTGCGCGAAACGTTTTTAAATATATTTTTCAAAGTTGAAAATTCTGATGAATTATCTGCGATAGACTATGTCTCAAGAAAAAATTAATGGGTTACAATTTTAAGTATTGAGAATGAGATATTAGAAAAAGTTGATTATGAAGCAATTATTGATGATATTGTTTCACAATGTTCTGCGATAAAGATTTTTAAATAATGTTTTCTTCTATTTAATACTTGTGTTGTTACTTTTCACCAAATATGTATTTTAAATGGTAACAATAAAATGAGATTCGTTTTTATTTTATGACCTTTATTAGATAATTTTATTATAATTATTATTTTAAATAAGTATAATTCATTGTTTGTCTTGAATATTAAATCAAAAGTATTCTCGCCCATAGGTTCGAAAATAGACAGGACCGACCCTGATGTTAATTATGAAACGTGATGCTACATTACTACTAACTACTTTACTTCTTTGTTGGAGTTATACTATTTTTCGGGACCCCATGAGTTTGATTTTCTGGATCCGCCACCGTCTATGAGCACAGCTTTCATCAGACACCGCACCATAATTGTATTGCTTGCTGAAAGTAGTGAATCAAATCGCCCTATGCAATACCATCCGCTCACAAGCGTGCCACCGGAGCCTCCCCTGGAGTGAGGTCATCTCGAAAACCAAGGGCATTATCTTCTTTTTTGTCAATAGTAGTAGTTTCCGGTAAACTTATTCTAAAACAACCCAGGGGTGGATTCGGGCTTGGCCGGGTCCGGGTTGGGCCAAGGCCCGGGCGGGCCGCCGGTTCTAAATAGGTGGGCCCGGGACCAGCCGGGGTATACACCGGGTCCGGTCCGGGCCTCGAGTCAATTTTTTTTTCCTTTTCCTAATTAACCCCCCTCCTACCCCCAACCCCCGAAACCACCCAAATGAGCCAAAATACCCAGCACAACACGAAAAGTTAAAAAAAAATTGAAAAAAAAATTAAAAAAAGCCCGGAACCGGGCCCAAACCGGTCGGGCCGGTTCGGCTTTTGGGTGACCCAAGCCCGCATCGGGAACCCCCCAGGCCGGGCCTACCCAGACCGGTCACTGGCCAGGCCAGGCCGGTTCAGCACAATGCCGATGCCGGGCCGGTTTCGGGTCAGGCCACCCGGCCCGAGTCCACCACTAATATCCGCCAGTCCGCTATGGAAAATCAAAACAAATTCTAGAACTAGCTGTTACTGTACTGCAAAGAAACCTGAGGACTCTACCTTGGAGCACTAAACAACCACCCACAAGGATAATCCTCAGATTCGGAATTTAAAAAGCAGTCCACATATGAGTATGTGACATATTCATGTTTAACTACAACTAATCTTGTAATCTAAAAACAAAGGACAATTATAGTAAATCATTCGTTTTTAAATGTATTTATTTGTTTTGTCCATCACATGTAAACATATGCTTCTAATCTAGCAAGTGCCACTTGACTAATTCTATCAACTAATATGGAAGTAGGACCCATGAAATGAAACAATTGAGACTATCTAAGCAACGTCATTAAAAATTGATTTGATCCAAATCCCGTACGCATTTCATTTCAGGAATGATAGGATCAAATAGTTGTTCCATTGGGGGGGGGGGGGGGGGGGGGGGGGGGGAGATTTCATACATCCAAAGCCTATACCAACATTGCAATTGATTGCCTATGAATGCTCCTTGTATCAAGTCTCTCCAAAGAGATTAAAGGTCTGCAGAAATCACACTAAAGATACAAACACGTATATGAAAAATGGCACATTCTAATAGGACATTGCTATTGGGCACGAGAGGGATAAAGAATGATTCAGTTAAAGGTAAAAGTTTATCAACAGAAATCATCTCACCGTTACTTTAGTCATTTGAGGTAACTTTGAGATAATTACACCACTCTCTGAATCTCTCTAACCCCTCTACCTAGATATATCATTGTCTTGTATATATTATTAATATCAGCCGATAAACCCCCCACAACTCCAAGCTTTTCATGCCTTTGGGCTGCTAAGGTTCTTGGTGTCCTTGTCTTTAATATACCATTCCGGTAAAATCTTCGAAGCATGGGGAAAGAGATCTCGATAAGCATTCTTGATTGTCCCCTCAGCGACAGTAGTTGCAAGAGCAATATCTGCATAGGTATAAACTTTTGAGTGACAAGGGGCTGTTTCATCAATAAAGACTTTTCCAATGCTGTTTTTCCAAAATGTGGTTTTTGGGTTTCAAAAGGTTGTGATTTCCAAGTTTTGAGGGTTTGTATAGTTGTTTAATACTAAAATGTTGCTCTGAAGTAGTTGAATCTTTTGGATAGGATCTACTTAAAGACTTCTGGGCAAAATAATTTGAAAAAAAAAACACTTAAAGAGTATTTTGAAACTTTCAGAGGTATTTGAGTTTACCCAAAGACACCCAAAATGTTCCAACAAACCCTTGATGCAAAAGTATTTTACTTCAAATAGCATTTTGAGCCCTTAAGTGGACCTTTGTGAAGAGGGACAAAATTAACAGAAATTTCTTAGGGTTGTTATTATTGAAATTAAAATGTGACTCCTTATGCTCCAGTATTTGGTACTTATACATCCTATTGAAGATCATAATCCTTAGATGCCATCTAGCATGAAGAACCTATGATACCAACATGGTGCTAAGCTAATCAGATTGGCGAATGTTCCTAAAAGACCTACGCATCCCTTTCAAGATCCAGTAAAACAGGAATAGCAAATTAGAAGACAGATAGATGTCTAAACCTCTCAAGGGTTTCTTTGCATCAGAAAGCTGGGTGAGCATGTAAATAATTGCAGCAGCAATAGATATAGGACTCCTCCTGTGGAAGCAATTAAAAAAATGTGTCTTAATTGAATTACACTCTGTGTACACAAGTGAGAGGAAAAATATGCATGCATAACATCCATCAGTAGTATATTCTGACCGTAATCAGTTTAAATTCCATAAACAGGACTAGAACATAAAACTAAAAAACACAGATAGACCAATACATGTTTTTCCTTAATATGTGAGACTATTTCAATCCTACAAGATGGGTTAAGCACTTCAATTATTTTTAAGGCATAACGAGGATACTCCGATTTGTACATTATTCATATTTACATAAAACTATTGGTTGCCTTGTTTTGCTTCAACATGATCGAAAATATGGGGAGGCTAATCCATTTAATCTCCTTAACTGAACTGCCGATGAAACAAATGTAACAAAACCGTTACAACTTTCTAGGGAACTAGAGTAATTCACTTGCTGTTTTGTCTTCCATAAAATTCATTAATAGCACAATAAATCAACTATCAATGCCCCATGTCTGTTTTTAATAGAAAATAATCATACAATCAATGCGGCACGCAAAAAGGATTGCAACCCTGATCTAGTTTTCACTTTCATGTTTTTTTTGGAACACAATAAATGAACAAATCATCATCATTTTCATTTACCCCAGTGCCGCAAAGGCTCCCACCTACGGTGGGGGGATCGGATGTACGCAGTCTTACCTCTATACTAAAGCACAGAGAGACTGTTTCCGGATGACCCAATCCAAAATTGCATGGACTGACTGCTGCTTCATTACAAAGAAGCTCAGATAGTTTAGTGAGCCATTTTGCTTTATTATTCATTTATTTACAAAAGAAATTTCTCATACGTTACTTTTTCAAGTAAAAATCGTGCAACCAATATGCAATGCAGTTTGATGAAAGTTCAAGCCTATATCAAGCCTGTAATGAAGGCTTTGTTGGGCTCAGTCTATATCATTTTTTTCATGATAGCTCAGTCTATATCTTGGTAAATAGAATATTCCCGAAACAAATAAAAGTGTATTGTAATGTTATCAACCAGATAAACTATTTCTTTCAATTTTTATAAAATCCCAAATGTACATCAAAATATAAATTAAGTCCTCCAAAGTCTTCCACCAAACCCTGCCAAAGTCTTCCACCAACCCCGCCAAAACCCTCCATCCAAACAGGCCCTATAGCGCACGAGCTAATCACAATAAAAAAAAGTTTAACCACAGCCGTGTAAGAAGTGTTTGCACAGGCATTATGTTTCAGCCCATTCTACAGAAACTTGTGAAGTTTAGATTAAAAAAAATATCAAAGTACAAGGGGAGAGGGAGAAGATAGCGTAATAGTACCTAATATCAAACTCCTTTGACATAAGAACAGTTTCTTGAACAGCTTTAATTTCTTCATGGTTCATACCAAGGTTGGAGCAAAAACGCCTCTGGTTGATAAGGCATGTCAGCATATTAGGTCACATACGTAAAACGACAAAAATGGATTCTAACATAAAATATGTAGACTACTAAGAACAAAGGAGCATCACAAGATCAGTTACAAGATCTTGGGTTATGAGTCACTAAGGTTACCAGGTAGTCCTCTGCATGTATCGTTCCCATCTCCATTGACTCTCCCAATTCAACCTTCAATTGTTTAACAATAAATTCTTTTGCACGGCCGATTTCCTTCTTTGTCGCTCCATTGGCAATTGAGCAAATTTCTAATCAACGTTCAGAAGAGATCAGGCAATTTCATCCAATTGTGTGAATCAGTAAATACCAACAATGCAAAAATAGCTTGGCAGAACCTTTTACGGTGCGGGGTTTTCCTTCTTGTCGACACGCAATATAGATGCAGCCACCCACCAAGGCATCAAGATTTCTTCCCCTTGTGCACTTTAGGTCTTCTAGCCTTTTATAATATTCACTTGCTCGGTCCTGCAAATTATATGGTGTTTTCATGTTGTAAACATAAAAGGAAGGAAACATCCATCATTGATATAAGTTTGCTGGGGCAAAACAACTTCAGATTCCGAGGTGAACTCGCCAAAGGTTAAAAGTAGAAACGCAACATGACAAACTTCTATGTTGCATATGCTCATTATGGATAGAAGCTTAATAGGGTAACATCTAGCTTTAGTCAGACAATAAGAATATACATAGAAATCCAGTTAATATCAAACAGATGCAAATGAAAGCATGTATACCTTTATAGTAGAGACAAGGCTCAACCTGGAAACATGAATTAGATAAATTAGAACATAATACCAAAAAAGATCAATTTTTTACTTTAAAATAGAAAAAACTTTTGCCACCAGTTTTACTCATAAATCAATGGCTTCAAACATGAGCGATCAAATCAGCATGTGTAAATAGGACTTATGTTGAAGTCCATATGAAAATGTGGATTGCTTGCTATATTACTTTGAGATTAAAGGCTTGTATGTTGTTATTGTTGATGAAACTTTGGAATACTCAAATTAGTTATCATCCACTCTCAAATAGTTGCAACTCTCGATTTGCAGACTTCACGATAGTCATACCTAATTCTCAAAATGATTACCAATACAATTAGCTGGATAATGCATTGATTTTCATGGTTAACATTTGCTTCAATAATTCATTCTTGAAGTCATTCCTAGTCAACCACCAAACTAAAAGAATCTGTTAGTATCAGTCCTCTTTAAAGACAGACGGACGGACCTATCAGCCATGATAGCAATTGCTTTGAAAGCCAGAACAAGGGCACGATCTGGATCACCGCCGCGATTCTGTAACCGGGAGAGCGACGAGTCGCCGTTGCCATTGGGAGCCTTGGAAATAACGGTGGACAAGCCGACATCGCCGAGCAATGGATTGACGGGTCCACCGACACGGTTGGGGTCGTGGTCGCCGGAGTCGTCGGCGAAGGTACGCCACTCGGAGGTCTCGTCGATGGCACGCGATTCCAGAACAAGCCCGCACTCGGAGCACACGGTATCACCGGCGGAGTGGTCGAAAACAACCTCGGTGTTCCGCTTGCAGTCCGTGCAGTAAGTGTCTGCCATTCGATCGGAACGGAGAAAATTCCGGCAACCACACTACTGTGCTGCAGAAAACAAGCTCGTTTTTCTCGGCTTGGAGATCTTTCTTTCGGTGAAGATGCGTGAGAAGGCGGTCATAGGGTATATATAGACAAACCTAAAGCCCCCATGGTGGTGGGATGCGACCTCGTTCAACGCATGATTAATTAAATCCAAAATATACCGTCTAACTTCAGCTAATTACATTTTTACCACTAATATTTGCTTTATAGACCAATTGATCCATGGATAAATGGATTTTAACCCAGAGTCCTTGTGTTTCTGAATTTTCAGTTCTCGTCTTTTTATATATGAGGGCACAAATTAAAGTCCAAAACCTTTACTCTCTATTCAAGGATTATTATCTTCATTCTTCTTGGTCCAATAAAAGGTGGAATCTCCCACCCCAGGAGCCCCCCATACCCTGACCCGACAAGATTTTTGGGAGGATGTTAATCACGGTGACTCAGTCGGCCCAATGATGGTAGGCCTTTTTCCCGTGCACACCAGAGACCCAGCCTTATTTCAGGTTCTGTGACCTCCACACGGCCGCTGCGGGTTTCGAACTTTGGTCACTTGGTCCAAATTTCCCACCACTGAACCAACTGAGCTATCCATGCGGGTTTATCTTCATTCTTCTCATTTTAGTTTGTTCCAACATAAATTTTGATTTCTCTTATGACAAAATTTTGATTTGTAATGTCAAACCAGAAGATAAATATGTGACAGGAGAACGTATTATATGTTTATATCAAACATATCTTTTGCTTTTATTTTAAATGTTATGCAAACGTATCTTTTACTTCATTTTATATTAAACTCTATTTGTAACAAACAAATTATTTATCGTAGTCATCTTATCAATTACTCCGTATAAATCTCCAATGTAACAATGTGTAGAGTAATATGTTGTTTGAGAATTATAGATACATAAAAATAAAATTAATGAAAATTATATTGTTCTCTTTCAATGATCTTCTATATTTTTAGTTACTTTTATCAACAATACTTGTCACAATATTTACAACCTGAGGTTATCATCATTGACATTATACAAATACAATTATTCAAAGAAATAAAACTATTTAAATAAGGAGAGAAATTCTACTTTTCAATTTTTTGTTTTTATCTCTCTCGTGTCACATGTTCATTCCTCTAGAAAAAATTTGTCTAAAATCATTGTTCGTTCAATGGCAAGTATTGTTGATAAAATTATTCACATTTTTGCGCTAGAAATGCTCTAAGCTTATTATCTTAATCGTTCACATTTTTGCTTTTGATATCTATAGATATATAATAACAAAAGAGTCTGGGAGGGAGTTTGGGCGGGAACACTGTAGCTAGCTTTTTTTGGGTTGGCAGATCTAATCCAATTATTAAAATAAATGGATTTTGCCTTGAGGTTTGGTATTTTGCATTGGTTAATTAACGAGGCAATTGAATTATACGAGTACATTGTTTAGACATTAAATTAATGGTCGATCCGCTTCACAAGGCTGTGTAAACTATCGGCATCTCTTTGTCTGTTCGGATTCCAAGAGTCTTCAAAAATGTAATTGGTTTGCAACACTTGATTAGTAAAAATGGTAAAACGTGGCTTTACATATATATTTCTTTTAGGATAGGCCTCTACCGTGTCTTTTACTGATTTCTTTTTTATTTTTTGGATTGGTGGGTTTAATTAAATATCTATTATTTAATCAATTTTTTGAGCATGTTCTCCACTGTAGATTATATCCGCCATATTTCAGCTAAAAATTAAATCGAAAATTCTGTTAAATAAATTAATCAACAAAATTGATCCGGAATATGTATTAAAAAACCAGTTATATTCTAAAAATTATTTAACTAACTTTTTGATTGAATTTTTAGCTGCAATTTAGTGGACACAAGATAAACTTGACGGAGAACATGTTAAAAAATCATCAAAAAATTCCACCTATAACCACATGATCGGGTGCGGTCCTGTTCGAAATTTTCCCTAGACTAACTTATTCGGTATAGTGGCTCGATGAGATTTGAATTTTAAATTGTGAAATGACATTTTCATATGTTTCAGAATTTGTAATGAATGTATTCTTTCATATGTTCAATGGCCTTTTTATTTAATTTAGTTCATTTTTTATTCATTGAAATTGCATATTCCGTGCATCGCACGGGTACTATACTAGTTAATATAATACAAACATGTCCAATAGTGGGTGGGTTTTTAATGCTTTGACCCTTGACAACTTAGGATATATGTTAACTTTTTATTTTATACGGAGTAGTAATGTATTCTACAAAATGCTCTTAAACTTGTCTGTTATCTTTTAAGAAGTTGTTGTCACATTTTGTAGATCTACTCCAAGGGGTTGATACGGCATAGTGTCCTCCCATGCATTGGATGCACATAAACTAACATTGTCATGCAAATTCCAAATCTTCGAGGTTTCCTACTAATACGCTCACAATAGTCTACCCGGGGGTATATATCCGAAGGGTTATTGCTGGGAATAACTTAGAGAGAAGTCAGAGCAAGTAAATGTAGAGAGAGAGTGTATTATAAATATGGAGCGTTTTCAGCGTCGTTACAAATGGGGAAATGGGGTGCTATTTATAGTAGCAATAAATGCCGGACAGGGACACGTGTCAAGCGCCCATTGGCCGAGAGGTCACCTCAACTGGTTGGCGTAGGCAGCCGCATGTGGCCGCATTTAATGCGGCTGTTGGATGGGACGTCTGTACAGGGTACGGTGATCTGTACGCATGTGAGGCGGATATCATGTCGGGAGAGGTGCCTTCGGCTATAGGGCAGCAGCCGAGGGCTCCTCAAACTGATGGCACCCTGGTGCCGAGGGCTCCTGGTGCCGAGGGCTACTGTTTTTGCCGTTTCCTCCCAGTTTCTTAGTTTGCTTGAGAACCCCGTTCTGTAAGAGTTTAGAGCCTTCGGCCAGGGGGCCGAAGGCACCCCTGGCGCGTAGTGCGGGCTGCTTGGTACTCTGGGCGCTGTGATTTGGGCCTGTTGAGCCTTCTGGGCCTGTTGGGCCTTTGCTGGAGTAGTAGGAGTCTGTGGGCCGGGGGTTCCCGGGCCATATACTCCATCAGGAGTCCCTCACTCCTTTTGCCGAAAGGTATTTGAGGGAAAAGGAGTAATTTGTGCTTGCCCTTTGATGTTGTCCTGTCGTAATCTCTGAAGTTGGTGAGGAGTTGTTGTTTTCATGTCCCTGCCGAAGGCAGTCCCTCAGTTACCCACATGTCGGGACTTGAGGGCTTGCTTTGTCGTTTTTTGGAATTTCACTAATTTTGTAATTTAATGATTTTCCCGAGGGGGTTCCCCAGTCTCCCACTCCTTGAGACACTTGTAAAGTGGTGAAAAGGAGTAAAGTAGTTGCGTTGCTGTTGTGGGCCGAAGGCTGACGCTTTTCGTTTCATTTTGGGGGGATGCCTCGTTAAAAACCTCATTAGGAAAAACCCTGGGGGAAAAAATCCTAATGAGGGAAAAAGAGTGCACCGAATTCCCCCAACGATGAATCGAAAATGTGAAACCTTGGTCAAAAATGGAGAATAACGGTAATGCCGAAGGCTCTTCTTTTTCTGAGGGCTCATGTGTTGATTAGCCGAAGGCTTGCTGTTGATGTCCTGGGGGTGCCGAAGGGGAGCCCCGCAATCTGGGGATCGAGGGCCTGATGGATGAGGGCAGTAGTGGAGTTGTTATCGGGGGGTCCCCTGCTTGCTGGTTAGTTGGTGATGAGGATACCCGAGGGCTCCCATTACCTGTGTGCTGTAGGCTATCCGTCAATGAGGCAACTCCCCGGGGTCTACCCAGCTTTACAGTGCTGAGGGGGGATCCCCGAGGGGTGTCCTGATATGAAGCCTTGGGCTTCTAAAGGAGTGATCCCGGGGGCGACTGTAATGTACCGTGTGGGGCATAAGCCGGGGGCGTCTCTGGGTAAATGTACCCGGAGGCTCTCCTTGGTGAAGTGGAGTGAAGTAAAAAAGGTCCGGGGCTCCCAGAATATAGCCGTTGGGAATATAGCCGTTGGAATACGTACCGTCAGGATATAGCCGTTGGGGGGGGGGGTACACGTGGCGTGTGATGGTTGGCTGTCCGTGGGCGGCATCACTGGTTGGGCGAAGACGCGGTGTGTAATGATGGCGGTCCATCCGGAGGCCCAGAATCCAGGCCCAAGCCCGGATTCCAGCGCCTATAAATACCCCAAGGCCAGAGCCATTTCTTCTTGTGCGATCATTTGTCTTAGCGAAGCTCTGCCAAAAATTCTAGAGAGAGAAACTCAAGCCTTCGGTCAAAACTCAGCTTTCAAGGTCAGTGTCCTGCTCTCCTCTCAAAACTTTTAGTAAGTCCCGCCCTCTGGCCTTAGATTAGGGTTAGAGTCCTGTAGAAAGCCTTCGAAATCTTAGGCACATTTCGTGATAAAAAATGTCGTCTGAGAGCGATTCCCAGGACATCTCGAGGACGCCCTCGATGGAGGACGAAGGCATCTCCGACGTGGAGTCCAGCAGCAGTCAGCCCTCGGATGGTGGTGATGCAGCTCTCGCCACCGAGGTGCAGAAGGATCTGATGGCCGAGGCCGAGGCGGAGGAGTTCGAGCGGACCGCCGAAGATGAGGAGTTGGCCCTCGCCGTGCAAGTTGCTGAGGAGGAAGAGGAAAAGGAGAGGGCGAAGGTTACTGTGTCCGTCCTTCCCCCTCGGGGTGCTGGTGAGGCCAGTACCTCTCAGTCGCTGAATGCAGTTCCCATCCGGGTGGCCCCCGGGAAGAAGAAGGCCAAAGCAGCTGCCCCCAAGAAGAAGATTATTGCCGCTGATCAGGGGAAACCCGTAGATATGCCGGAGGGGTATTCCTGGCTCAATATTGCTGCCTTGGAGATAAAGTCGAAGGCGGACAGAGCGGACCTCTACGTCACGCAGCTACACGTAGGGCCCTCGGTTGTGGTGGTCGAGCCGGGAGTTGACGACGTGCTATCTCGGGCGCCCGAGGGGTGTATTGCAGTACACGTACTGTCGGTCTCCATGGGCCTTCGGTTCCCTCTGCATCCCTTCCTCCGGGAGTACCTGAGGTTTGTTGGCTTGGTACCCTGCCAGCTGACACCTAATAGCCACTCCTACGTGGCGGGTTTTTTGAACCTCTTAAGGGACCGA